TCTAAACAAAGCTTTGGGTCATTCAAAATCTTATATTTAAGCCTCAGAGAGTCTGACTTATAGAGGATGCCACAGCATTAAATATGACTCACCCATGCACTGTTTAAATTCAGTGACATGGAAGCAGCAGTGAGGCAAAATAACATGCTTTTAAAAGCTGAAAATGTGGTTTGCCACCTAATGTAAGCCTTGCTCAGTACATAACTATGTGGCCAAAAAGACAAAAGCCACAGTATTTAAGAAAAAAGTTAACAGTCTAGGAAGGAATCAAGCCTAATTTGCAATCAGACATTATAAATCCATACAAATCCAAACCTTCTCATAGTTACAGTAGACCCAATGAAATCAATGGGACTTCAATTAGTTATGGCTAATGTAAGCACTATTTTTTTCCATAGGTCTACTGTAAGTATAACTATGGATTCAATCATAGATTTATAAATATTGTAAGTACAATCCTGTTACAGAATCATAGAATAAAGATGGAAGGGACCAAGAAGGCCATTGCATCCAACTCCCTCTTGTTGCAGGACACCAATTTACACCATCCCACTCAAATGACTGCCCAGTTTCTTTTTGAATGTCTCTAGTGTGGGAGAGCCCCTGAGCACTCTAGGTGACTGGTTCCACTGTTGTATTGCTTTGACAATTGGGAAACTTCCTGAAATCTAATATGAATCTGGTTTGTCACAATTTGAGGTGACTATTCCATGTCCAACAAAGAACTCATCCTTCCTTTTTGTGAGAACCTTTGAGGAACTTATAAATGAAACCATGTCCCTGCTCAGTCTTCTCAAGGCTGATCATGCCCAGTTCTCTCAGTCTCTCCTCATAGAGCAGTGTTTCCATACCATGGATCACTTTTGTTTCCCTCCTCTGGACCATTCCTAATTTTCTGCATCCTTCTTAGATCTTGGTGTCCAGAACTGGACACAGTATTCTAGATGAGGTGTGACTAGTGAAAAGTATACTTCTTGTGATTTGGAAGTAATAATTCTATTAATGCAACCCAAAATAGCATTTGCCTTTTTCACGGCTGCATCACACTGTTGGCTCATATTAGCATGTTGTCCATAATAGTTCCTGCCAACCTTGCAGTTCAAAAACATATAAATGCAAGTAGATAAATAGGTACCACTTCGATGGGAAGGTAACAGCGTTCTGTGCACCTCAGTGTTTAGTCATGCTGGCCACATGACCACGGAAACGGTGGACAAACGCTGGCTCCCTTGGCTAGGAAACAGAGATGAGCACCACCCCCAAGAATCAAACATGACTGGACTTCAGTGTCATGGGGAAACCTTTACCTTTACCACAATAGTACCAACATGTTCTTCTTTTTCTTTTCTGTTGAGCCATGTATTCCCCATCTTGTAGCAATGCATTTGGTTTCTTTTTGTGGAGGACTTGTCATTTGTCCCTACTGAATTTCATTTTGTTGCTTTCAGCCCAGCATTCCAGCTTATCAAGATTGCCCTGATCTTTGAGAGTGTTCACTATTCCACCCAGTTTTGTATCATCTGCAAATATGATTATTATTCCTTTACCTACTCATCTAAAACATTAATAGAGATGCTGAAGAGCACTACCCCTAGAACTGAATCCTGTGGTACCCCACTAGTTACCTTTCTCCAGTTTAAGAAGGTGCCATTGATGAGTACTCTGGGTCCGACTTAACAGCCAGTTTTGGATGCACCTAATAATTTTTCTATCTAGTCCACTTTTTGCTAGTTTGCTTAACAGGATGTAGCAGGGCACTCTGTCAACATCTTTGCTAAAGTCTAGGTAGCTCATGTCCACAGTGTTTCCGCTATCCATTTTAGAGGTTATTCAGTAAAAAAATGAGGATTTACTTCCAATAAATCCATGTTGGCTTTTATTAATCACCTCATTTTCTTTGGGGTACTTGCAGAATAATTTTTAAATAATTTGATCCAGAATTTTTCCAGGGACTGATGTCAGACTAACTGGTCCATAGTTCCCAAGTTTGTCTTTTTTCCCTTTTTGGAATATGGGGACAATGTTAGCCCTTCTCCAGTCATCTGGCACTGTTTTCCAAGATTTACTGAAGATAATAGACAGTGGTTCTGAGAGTTCCTCCACTAGCTCTTTTATGACTCTGGGATGGTGTTCATCAGGGCCTTAAGCTTTGAATAGGTTTCTTCCATGTAGATATTCCTCGACCATTTGTTTGTCAATCTTGGGCTGCCATCCCTCATTTTCAGCTTGCACTTCCTCTGGACTTTCTTGCTATTTGTTTATATTCTTCCTTTGTGGCCTGGCCCTCCTTCCATCTCCTGTACATGTTCTATTTTTCTTTCAGGCTGTCACTTTACTACTACTGAACTTACATGTGGACCTCTGGCTCAGAGAATTAAATGAAATCTCAGTGTTCAAATAGAGTATATCATCCAATGCCACAAATAGAATGTGAGCCAGTTCACATGATTAAAACTGTCCACTGTTCAACCTTCACATACCCCATGTTGGGTGAATTCAAATTCATTGATGACCCTCAAGTGGGTACTGACCATATACATTGCAGGCTGGTGGACACCAGTATGTACTGGGGCTCACCTTGGCTTAAATGAGCTGTTTTGGTCATGCAAACCAAGTCCGTATGTGAACCTCCCATACTGAATCACTGTCTACTTCCTGGCTCAGAAAAGAAAACTGCTCAGAAAGCCTTGGCTATTGGGTGGTATAAAAACAAAACTAACAAACAAACAAAGGCATATTAAAACAAGGAGAATTATATACTTTAGTTTGCTCCTAACGATGAAAAACTCTTGATCCAAAGGTGAGTTGTAGTAGAAGTATCCCACCCTATTCTTGTTTGTTTCTTCACATTTTTTTAGAAAAGGAAAAAGATAGGGTGCCTTGGTTAAACATTCTTTAAACTAACATGGATTATACCAGAATATTATTACTAGGCCAATTTTAATGATGACCAGCCTTTTGTAAACTTATTTAAATTTACAGTTCTAGAACATGCCATGTATTTTATTCTTTATTGTATAACTGCAGCCTTGGGAGTTTGTAGTTACAAGGACTTTTCTTGTACAACATATACAGCAAAAACATACTGCAGTTTATATGTGGTAAAGCACATAGAAGAGATGGCAACAATGTTGCTCTATTGCTCTAAAAAACCCCTTGACTTTAGTTTTAATTCTTACAGATTCAGAGCACGATTTCAGATAGAGTATGTGTAAGTGTGGCACTCTTAGTTGTTTACTGTCTTGCAGACAGGCATCACCAGCACAATACTAAAGCAGCATGCACAGAGATTTTTTAACACTATGCCCAAGACCTAAATTAACAGCCACTAGTGTATAAAATAGTGCTTAATTAATTCAGGAGACATCATTTACCTTACAGAAGGCACAACAACTCTCAGGAGAACTTTGCTTTTACCCTTAGTGGATTAAGGAAAATATTAAAATGCTACCAAAATCATGCTGCATTTAGGATATCCCTACACCTCTTTCAAATCCCTAATCCCTAACTCCTCTTCTGCATCTCTAATGCAGAATTATGGTGGGAGATGGGAGAGGATTGCTGTTCTCTACAGAATGTCAAGTGGATTTGTTTATTTGCCTGTGTAATGTGCACCCAGCTAGAGTAAACATAAACCATTAAACAGCAACACCCAGAACAGAATCAGGCACAGAAGAGTTGCAGCAATTTGGCCTTTAACAAACATTTACCTGCTAAACATGATATCCTTCAAGAAATCAAAGCATGTGTGCATATATTTTACATCTATCCTTAATACAGGATGTTAATATTAATTATGCTATTCTGCATATACAGGGAATTGTGGAAACAGAGATTATATCTGGTTCAGTCCTGGAAATACTAAACATGTAAACAATGACCTGTAGAAAGTAGTAACAGTAGCAGCAGCCAACTCCCAAGCCATAGTAGGAATAGTAGCAACAGCCAACTCCCAAACAAAGGCAAAGCAGGAGTGTTGTTTTTCACACAGAAAGCCTGAAATGCCCAACCTGTACCTAAATGTACACCCTTGATATTCTTCATTAAATAATCCAGAACAGTTTACTCAGCTCTGTAATAATCATTTACATGGATTAGAATACTACTTCCAGCATAAATACACACAGGAAGCATATTGAGGAACCTCATCTTTCCATCACTGTTTACCATCTTGATTAAGATAGTTAATCAAGGATAGTTAATCCTATGCAAGCTTAGGCAGAAAAAAGGCCTACAACTCAGCTATGCTAAGGCATGCTGGGACCTGTAGGCCTTTTTTTGTCTAAACTTGCCCAGGGCTGTGCCTTCACTTGACCACACATCTCAGGACTACCTCTTCTTGATATTTATGATGATGATAAGGGAAAAATCATTTCTCAGGTGGGCAATTTCCCTCGGGGATCCAACTGCTGTCAACAGTTCCTCCAGCCCCAGTGCCCACTTCCTCCTTTGGTATTCCTGTCGGCCAAGAGGCAGAGGTGAGCCGCCAGGGGATGCCAAGCTGTACGTCGAGTGTGCGTGCGTGCAAGTGACTCTGTCTGTCTGTCTGTCTGCACTGTGATCTATTCTATCACATTACATCTACCCCAACCAGAACAATCCTTGTCCATATAGGCTAAATAGCACCAACATAATACTGTCTGGTTCAAAACCTGATACCTAAGGAGTGTGTGTGTGTATGAGAGAGAGAAAAAGGAAAACACAGACATGTAAGATGCAGGGAGTGAGATTCTGTTCAGTTTGGAAGCACTCGTGATTAGAGTAAGAGATCCGACGATGCTTCTCCCCCGGCAATGACTGCGGGCTAGAGGGCTTGCTGAGAAAGTAGTTGGCGGTCGCCTCGAGGGACGACGCCAACGACCCCCCTCCCCACCGTCGACATCCCGACCTGGCATTTGCGGCCAGAGGGGCCGCTGGCGCGCTCTGCCCTCGACCGGGCCCCATTCGCCCCACGCACCGTGGCGCTCCCGAGCCTCCCCTCGCCCGCGCGCGGGACTCACGCAAGCAGAGCTGGGCGACATAGGCGTAGTAGGACCAGGCGAGGATGCTGCCGATGAAGACGACCGGCACCCAGAAAATAAGCCACTGGCAGCGCTGCCTCACGCCTCCCGCTCGAGAGCGGCGCCGGGACGCCGCCGGGGCACTGGAAGGAACTGCAGAACTCGCCGCTGGCGCCGCCATCTTCCCTCAGCCCGTCCTCTCCTCCCTGCTCGTTCAGCTCCTCAGTCCGCCGGGGGGCCCAGGGCCTTCGCTGCACATCCCCACTGGCGGCGGCGCCGCCTGTGCGGTCCCAGCGCTTCTGCCTCCCGATCAGCCCCTTCTTTCCTTCTCTCGGCTGCGCCGAGTGGAGCGGCCGCTCCTCCCCTCAGCCGCCTCCAACCACCGACTTCGCTTCCCGTTGCCCTTCCCGCCGGTGACAGCCTAACGAGGAAGCCGCCTCAGCCCGCAATCCCTTGTCCTCGGCTGTGGGTGGGGTGGGGTGGGATGAGGAGGAGGAAGAGGAAGGGGCTGTTAGTGGTGCCCGCCCCCCAGGTCTAATCCCGCTAGCGCGGTAAAGCGACCTGCGCTGTCAGACCCAGTTCCTGAGGTGCTGCGAGGGAAACAGCAACTCTTTCCCTTCTAATCAATTCCTTTAAAAAAACCATAGTTCCAACAACGGCTCCCCTTAAAAACAAGCCCTGGAAAAGAGGCTCTCTCTATTTATCATTTCACCCCAATGTGAGCAGCCTTGCCCATGGAAAAGCATGAGCCCTCCGACGACGGGCTGTGAGGAGGGCTGCCCTTCGGTTTAAACATGCTCGAGAAAAGCTGTGTAGCCATCCTCAAACCACACGTACAGGCTGGGCCACCGGCTAGACTGTCCCAGCCTATCTGCAACGGCAGTCATGGCCTCAGGTGGTCCTATTAATTTATCTCTCTCTTTTCTGCTAAAGTGGCTAACAAAATAAAAACACAATCTTTGTTCAAACTTAAGATGACAACCAAATACATTAAAGCTACAATACTTGCCTAGTTTAAAAGAACAATCCTTCACCAAGAGATGCGTTTATATGCCAAAAGTCTCCCTTGATTTAAAAAAAAAGTATGTCAACCATTCATTTCTCAGCAGGGAGTTTCTGAGATTAGGAGGGACACATCCTTTTAAAAAGTGCCCTTGATGGCAGCAGGTCCAAGAAAAGGGCCTCCCTCAAAGATCTTAAAACCCTAACAGGCTCATAGGAGAGAATTTCGTCTTCCAGGTAACCTGGCTCTTAGTGATATAGACTTTTGAAGGACCTTACTAGCAGCATGTGCCCAGAAACAGATAAGACAGCAAAGAAGCTGTGGCAACAAGCCAGCTATATGCTCCTTGTAACTGGCTTTTGTGGCTGCTGCATTCTGGACCACCCAAAGATCCTGAGCAGTTTTCAAAGACTGCCACATACAGAGTGCTTTACAGTAGTTCAGATGGTCACATTAGTGACCAGATGAGAGATCTCTGAATGTGCACAGTTGGCATATTAGTCTCAGCTACAGAAATACATTCTGGCCGTAGGCATCAAGGTACATGGAAACTGCAAGCTGGAGTTTTCAGGGGGAGCGTCACCTCATTCCTCAGAAGCTCACCTGTCTGTGTTCTGGCAAACTAGGAGCACCTCTGTCTTGTCTGAACTAAGCTTCAATTTGTTTGCTCTCATTTTGTCCATTCCTGACAACCCAGTGACTTAGAACATCCTTCTTGGATTTAGATGGAAAGCAAAGAGAAAGTTGGGTGGTATCAAGTCTCCAAACTCCAGACAGCCTTTGTGAGTTGTAATTAGATTAGAAATTTCATTTCATTATAACATGGTTTAGCCATTCTAGTTGTGGCAAGGATAAAATGGTTAAGAGATAAATAATTCACATTAAAAGATATTGGCCATTGGATTCAGAGGCAGAAAAGGGTTAAAATAATATAGGATTATCAGAATCAAGTTCTTCTGTGATCAGTGAAATATACATGTTTATAAAATACTACTCTGAGATTTACCTGGAGTAAGGCTTTTTATAAATTAATTACTTCTAAGTAAATATACATGTATTTATACTAATTGTACATATGTAATTCAAAGTAATTATTCAAAATAATTATTTTTAAATGATGAAATTACATTGATAATTGCCTTCCCAGAAGTCATTTATATGGCTGTATTAGACATGGTAACCTTGAGCTAGCTTGGAGACAAAAGTGAGTTGTTTTTTATAGAATCATGTTTCACATCCAAGCAACATACTCAGAATATTGTCTCTGCCACCACATGAGCTAGGAATCGTAGATTAGCTTGTGCAGAGTAGAGTATGGGGATTAAGGGTGAAACTTAAGTCATGGGGCCATTTTTGAACTGGAAAATTACCATGTCAATATTCCTTTTGCTTATAATGATCTAGTTTTGCATAATTAAGGCTGCAATTCTATAGCCACTTATCTGTGTCTAAACCCCTTTGAGCTTGTTGGGACTTATTTCCGAGTAGACAGGTATTGGATTGCTAATTATTATATAGCCTTTTCCTGCATTAGATAGACTTCCACATTTTTTGTGATATCATTTTAAATAAATAGCTTTTCCTAACACAGTGCATTCTGCAATAACCAACTCGAGCTGAAAAGTTATGTGAAGGAAGGGCTGGGCATATTGTATCTGCTGACATTCTTCAGACAATTTGTTTTAGCAAATAATTCTTGTGGGTAATACTGGAGTCGCTTTTTCTATCCAACTTCTTTTTCTAACCTTTTCAGAGGAAAAGTCCAACAACTGCAGTTTAGAGGAAGACCCAGAACCAGGGAAGCTTAAGCAAGGGGACTTCTGGACACCTGTCATTTCTGGTAGGTCACCTTTGAGAGGGGAGTCTTCCTCTGGGTTACATTGATCTTTGGGTAGTTACCCTTTCTCTTTTGTTCTTTTGAGGGTATATGTGCCACTGGATGGAAGAGTGTGCAGAATGTGATATGTCTTGGAAAAAAAAGGATGATCCAAGACAAAAAAGTTTGCAGTGGTTTTTTACCCTGTGAAAATGTCTATTTCTCATTTCAAAAAAAGATATTTGAGTACTTAACTCTAACCATAACCGTTTCCAGAGTGCTGTTTTCAACCTTGGAGTGGAAGACTCCAACAATCCTATGGCCCATCAGACACTGTCTAGCAGCTATGGCTCCGACACTAGATGAGTAATATGAAAGCGGTAGGGAAAAAGATCTCCTTGTCTACATTCCTAATTTTATACACTATGCTTAATTTTATACATTTCTATCCCTGATTACATGCCTTTTGCTAATCTAGAAAGTTGCAAATATAATGATTTTTCACATAAGGGAAATATCCTAGATCCTGGATCAGTTTGTTTGCCATTTTCTGAACTTTTCCAAGCTGTACAATATACTTTTTGAGCTGTAATGACTGAAATTACATAACTTTCCAAGTGTAGTTATAATATAAATTTAAGATCTTTATTCTATTGGCACTTTTATTTTTAGTCCCTTTCCTAATGATTGCCTTTTCCCCAGCAACCATACACTGAGAGTGCATGTTTTCATGGAATTATCCACTATAAGCTCCGGAATTCCTTTCCTGGTTAGTCATCACTGTCTATACATTTCCTTTTTGGGGAAATCCTTTTAGAGTTCTTTCCTGTCCCATTCTTTTCTGTACTAAATAATTTGGTGCTTTACAAACCTGAATACCTCACTGCTCATCTCGAACTCCAAATAATTTATGAACAAAGTTTAAAAGCTTTGGTTCCAGTATAGATCCTCAGGGAATCCACTGTTTGCATTCTCCATTGCAAGAATTGTGTAGTTTACTCCAGGTAAATTGTCTATTTCTTCCTTCTCTCTGCTCTCTTTTCTTGAACCAGTTACCAACTGGGATTCCCCATTGTAAGCCAAGTATTCATTACTTCCTGTGCTCAGTAACATGAATCCCATTAAATCAGGATGGATAAAAGATAGATCAGGGCCTAATGATAGATCTAGATCTCTGGATGGTTTGCAATAGATGGGCAAGGATTTTAGACTTCCATTTAGTTAACGATTACAGTAGCAATATTATTTCCTTCAATTCTAAATTATATGGCTGAACAGAAGGTAGCTTTTGGCAGTATTGATTTATGTGAGTGGAAGAACTGTGAGCTCCATTCAGTTCTGGTATTTAAAACTAAATCCTGGGTTCAGAATTCTTCAGTTATAAATGTATGCCTTTTGTCCCATCCACTGATTTGAGGATATTGGGATTCTGCTTAAAAGCAAATTGAACTTGCAAGTGTGGATTCTCTCCACTCCCTTTTCAAGCCATGTTAGAAATTTCCAAGGGACACCAAATCAAGCAGCTCACATTTCAAAATAAGAAACACAGTTTAAAAAAGTCTGCATAGAAATGTTATGTTTAAACAAGGTGCTCTGTATTATGCAAATATATGTAGGTCTGCAATAATTTTCCCTTGATTGGTTTTTATATACCATTTTGTTATTCTTACTGTCACAGGTAAGGAATTATAACATATTTCTCCCTGTATTATAACTGTTTCATCATATCTGAAATAAGTCTTATATATTTATTTTTTATTGTTCAATACATAAATAGCCAAACCACACCATAAGAAGCAAAGAACAAAGAAAGGCAAAACACCTCTCTGACCTTTCTTTATGCAATGGGGCCTTTGTTGACTTGTACTAAATTTTGGCCTTTCCCACTTTGGTCTGTTTTAAACTCATCAATTTAAGGCCCTTTTGCCAGCTGGATTGCACCTAGTCCGTTCCATACCAAAATACATAATGTGCCCTGCTCCAGTTGTGGCTGCTAGGAATCTGTGTCCTGTACTTCATGTCAACTGCAGCTTAACATTCTTTCACATTCAAAATTCACTATGTGGGGAAATCAGGATGTAAACATTCGCAAGAAAATGTTTGTTTGGCAGACATGGATAGACAGGCTGATTTTTACTCTGGTCATCTTGTTGATTCTGATGGTAATTTTTTCCATTCTCTATTTTGTAGGTTGATATAAATTGTCAGCTGCCTGACAGTGTATTAGAAATGTGTTAGAATCTAGGTTTGTCCAGCAAGTTGTACACCTTCAGAGTTGTCTGTATGATAGGATGTATTAAGGCCAAATAACTCTACCAGCCTACAGTTTATGTTGATAAATATTTAATATTGGTGAATAAATATGATACACAGACTATCAAGCAAGAATGGAATAATAAACTGAAATACCCCAACCAGTTGAGAGCTTCATTATTTCAAAAGGGGTTATAGATCTCAGGCTACACTTAATTCAGCAAAAGTTGATGTTTCAGGTATATTGGATACAACAATGTCTCTTTAACAAGGGTTTAATTAAATCAGCCTATTGTTGGTGTAATGCTGCTAATACTTTTCTTCAAATATTTTGGCAATGCCCCATGGCAGCTCCCATTTGGAAGAAAGTGAGAATTTGGATAAATCTTATAATGGAAAGTTCTTTAATACTTAAGGATGCACGTGCTCTTTTGAATTGCCTACCCATATCTTGGAATCTAATGCCAAGGTCAACCTAAATGGATTTTTGGGCACTTTTGACAGGGAAAAGACTAATATTACAATACTGGAGGAATAAACAACCACCTGTAATAACACAGTAAGTGTTATTATTATAATTAAAAGTTATTATAAAAACTTTCCATTTTTAATGAGGTCATTTTAGGCACAATCTACCAAATGATAGATATATGGATATATGTGGTTCCTTTGTTGAAGCATATGTATAATTATTTTAATAACGTTAGTATGTTCTGCCATATACTAATATCTGCAATAAGTCTTGAATGTTGACAGTTAAATGCCTTATATGTTAAAACACTGGAGAATCAAAGGGGAATGTATGGGGAAAGGATGTGATATTATCTGAATACATGTTCAAAATGTTAATAAAAATGGAAGGGTGATACTTTTATCTTTTACTGGATACACATTTATAGATCCTTTCCTATGCATTTCCTTGGAGAACAGAGTGTTTGCTAGTGAATTTAAAATATTGATAGTTCAATTAGTAATTAATCATCCTTAATAGAAGCATCTGCAGGAACTGTTGTATTACCAGAGTTTGACAGCAGATTAAGCAGTGGGAGGAATGCCGTGAGAACAGAGTTCTTTTTCAGTGATGTGCTGGTGGAGATGCAGATGCAGAAGTCATTTTGTAAGAAAGTATTTAAGCTATCTTTTAGGGATGGCTGTCACATTAGGATCACTACTGGTATTTATGTGACTTGAAAATTTTGAACCAATTGCACAAAATGAAAATAAACAAAGTTAAGGATGAGAAAGACCATTTCCCAAGGCTTCTTTAGCTAAATACTCCATCTAGTCAAATGCAGAATGGTTACAACTAGAGTTGATTGTTCAACTTGCTTTCTAAACCAATCTTGTTGCACAAGTTTCTTTTTAGTCATGTGTACATTTATTAGAGAATAGAGACGCATAAAATTTGGTTAAACATTATGTAATTGATATTTGACTCTCCAGATTTAAAAAAAAACCCTTAAAACATGTAAGTAACTGTTGAGAATGCTTAGATATGCCCTGGACAGGCCACTGTATGCATTAATTATATAGCTGAAGGCATTAAATGGCATACTGGGTTAATCCATCCATTACTGAAGTACATTAGTGCTTCTACTCTTACTTGTAATTTCTGATTCTGGTTAGTAGGTGCCTAGTGGATATTCCTTCTTCCACAGCTGGCATTTTACAACTGCAGGAAGAGTCAGAGAAGGGAAACCACAGAGGATGCAGTGTTTGGACAGGTCTGATGCATGACAACTTATACAGAAGATAGCAAAATAAGTAATTACACAGACAAAATACAGAAAAGTTATTTGTTTAAACCATTTATTCAAATCAGACTACAAAGAAAATAACTCATTGCAGCAGTTTGTCTGTTAAATGTTTTAAAAGAAAAAAAAACAATGAGGAATGATTTTATTAAAACAATGTATGGATATTTTAGTTTGATCTTATTAGTAGTCATGTAAAATACTATATTGGGTGGTCATAACCAGACTGTACAAACAATGTCTATGTAAAACTAATTCAAGGGATAATGGATATGATGAACGACACATTCATCTAGTCTCTAGTATTTCTCATTCTACTCCCATGTTCTGGTTCCTTCCATGTCTGATTTTAGTTGTCAATATTTCTTTTGAGGGTTTTTTTTTCCAATTTATGCATTCTGTAAAAATCGAGTAAAGCTGTTGAAAATTATGGGTGTCATTCTGTACATAAGAATTTACTTCACAATCCAAATAATTTCAGTGAACAAGATTCAAGAGATCCTGCTTTGTAAGCAGAAGGCATGTTTGCTTGCATGGGAGAGTAACCAAGTTCTCTTCTTCTGCAGCCATCTGGCCTCACCAAAATGCTGCTCTGAATGTTCTTCCAACTCTTAGGATCCAAGTTTCAGGGATACAAGGAGGCGCTTGAAGAAAGGAAATTCAGTGGCAAAGGGGGTAAATAAGGCAAAGGGGGTAAATTCCACAAAATGGAATCTTTAGATCAAAATTGCATTCCATGAGTGCTATTTCTATTTTACTGAAATAATTGCTGAATGTCCATTGCTTTTAATTAAGTCAGAAGTAAATTCCATTCAAGATTGAAAATATACCACTGTGTTCCCTTGTGTTCCACATTTACCTGGTCATGGCTTATATGTTCTTGGCAGAATAGGTTTATTCTTCTCTAATATATGTATAACATGATTTGTGATGTGTTAGTATTGTAATGCGCCTGTACATTCATTTGTAAAACCCCTCAGAAATGGGGAACATGAGGGGGTAAGAGAATCAAGCCTGCTTGTACATAGCCTACTGAATTAGTGCTTGGATGCAAGGCTATGTAGATGAAGATGGTGGTATACATGTCTCCAGCATGTGGAGAGATTACTGCCGCATAAGTGTGTGAATTGGCCACTAGACAACACATAAACTGAAAATTGTGCTCTATATTTATTAAAAATTCATCTACTATGTAAGATTTATTTTAAAAAGCAGCCACAAAAACTGTAGCTTATTGCTTGCAGTTTTTACAAGATTTCTATGCTGGATTTCTCACTAGTGAACTCTTCATCAACTCAGTATTATAAATTGATGGCATTTACATTTATCTTCCTAACTTTTTATGACGGCTTTGTGACATTATTGCAGGCATTGCATTCCTGTTGCAAGTATAAAAACCAAAAATAAACTAGCAAACAATTTTTAAACTGTTGCATGCTAGTCACCAGAATAGATAACGCATCTGTATCCAATGTTGTGCAATATACGTCTAAAGTAATTTTAGCAGATTAATCTAAATAAAGTACAAAAGAAAAAAATTAGAGCACAATCCCTAAATATCTGATTGTCTGGGGAATGCTGTGAGTTGTATGGATTTTTTTCTGTCTTAGATCCAGCAGTAACTTAGTCCAACCAGAAAGAGCTTTTCCTCATGCAAGGAAAGATTCCTGATTATTTCTCTTCTCTGCATATAGTCCCCTGTGGTCTTAGAGGATGCTTGATCTCAGGAATCATTTTGGGTGGCAAAGAGGGTTGCAGAAGGGAAAAACAGAGAAGGGCCATTTTGTGAACAGAATTCTGCTTACAGTTGTTAGGATCCAAGCTTTTAAATGAAAATACAACATGGAATGAATAAATTGGCTAGAAAACAGTCATATTTCCTTTTCTAATGCTATCCATAATTGTAATATTTAAAGACAGCACACTATGATTGACTTATTGAGTATACATATAATAAAAATGCTACTATCCTCAGACCAGTTAAGCCAAAATATTTAGTTTTATTTAATCCAATAGACAGTAATGAGAAACATGAGGATTAAATCAAAATACCCCAGTTTAAATGGTCTGTAGATAAAGCTTTTTAAACATTATTTTAATAATCTTACATCTATCCATACTATGTTTAAACTATTAGAACTCTTGAAGTGCAGCTTTATAGATTTTAGCCTCAAAATTATTGGGCTGGACACAGTATTAAATCAGTGAGACTTAAGCTACTAACTGAAGTCCCATTGATTTCAGTGGATCTACTCTATGGTTAAATCTGGATTCAACTCATAGTCTTCAATTTCAAAATGAACAACATTTCACATTTGCTATATGTACATCAGTTCATATACAATTACAAGGAAATATTTTTCCTTTATAGCTGTTATTAAAGGCACATTACCAGTATAACGAACATAGCAAGAAAATGGAATGACATATGAGAATAAAATAAATACAACAGACTTAAAATACATTCCTAAAATAAATTCACATTTGAATAGACTTTTGTAACCATTATATTTTATGTGAATTGGCTCCATGCAGCTTGGGACTCTACACATCTTCTTGTCAGCTGGATAGGAAACAGCAAGTGCAAATGCGGTTATGTGTACAGCTTCCTATTGCTGATTCAGTATTCAGGGCTCTGCATGCATTGCTCTTTCAGAAAAATGTTTAATTTTACCATTCATCTGTTTGTGGGGCTGGATGACCCTTTCCACACAAAACATTTTTAAAGTATCCATATGTGCAGCAAGGGCTGTTCCATGCATGTTTTCCCCCCCTTCATTTTAATGACTTTTATTCTACCTTTCTCCACTGGCACAGATCAAAAGCAACTCACAAGAAAGCAATATGAAATATTAATATTATTGCTCTGAAATGGACAAAAGCTTTCCTTAAATATAACCTATACCAGGGATGTAATTCTATGCACACTTACTTGGATGTAAGACCCACTGAATGCAGTTTGACACATTTCTAAATGAACATGCATAGGATTGCTCTATGAATGATTGAATAGAAAATCATTTCTAATAAACTTTTTACAAGGATTTACATAAATCCCATAAATGATATGAGTAAAGAAATATCAATAGATGGTTTGAGTTTCACTGACAGTCATCTTAACGAAATGAATAAAGCTTATACCAGCAGAGCACTTTAGGGATCATAGTCTAAGATGATAAGGTATTGCTACAGATGGAAGATATTCAGGGTAATTATTGGTTTCTTATTTTTTATGTTGTTTACAAAGGAAACAAAGACAAGTGCAAGGATTAATGGTGATCAAATGTGTAAGTGTCTTGTTATTCATCTCAACATATCTCTATTTTGAAATTGCTTCCAAAGGTCTCTGAAGTGTTTCCTTGTTAAAGTCTTCACACAAACATAGTTCTTCAAGCCATATTTGGCTTTTCTCTGTTTATGAGTTAATACAGAATTAAAATTTATTAAAGAAAAGCTGTATAAGATGCAACTAAAATACAAAGTAAATTAAGTCATTCTAAGCAGTTTATAAGATACAGTTAATTTTTTCATTAAGATCAGAACAAAAAGAATATCAAGGTGGTTGCATCCTGTCTGGAAGAAATGAAGGGTTTCTTGTCCAATATAAGAGACCGATAAAGTTAAAACTGGTATTTAAAAATGTCTGCTTGTTCAGTCTAGTTCAAAATAATGGAAGGAAGGTTGGTGGCCATGCAACATGGCTTTCGCAAAAACAGGTCCTGCCAGACGAACCTTGTGGAATTTTGGGATAGACCAATGCACTGTCCGATGGATTAGGGCATGGTTGACGGAACAAAAGCAGAGGGTAACTATTAGTGGGGAATCATCAGGATGATGGCCAGTAATGAGCAGGGTCCCCCAGGGCTCTGTCCTGGGGCTGATCCTGTTCAATCTTTTCATCAGTAACCTCAAAGAGGGGGCGACAAGTCTGCTGATCAGATTCGGAGATGATACTAAAATGGGGGCAGTGGCCACAAATTAGAAGCAGGTACTCCAGATCTAGAAAGATCTGGACAGACTATGAAAGTGGGCAGGGGACAATAAGATGGTGTTCAATGCAGGTAAGTGCAAGGTGTTGCACTTGGGGCATAGGAATTGGTGTCATAAGTACAGGTTAGGGGACAAGTGGCTGAAGAGCAGCACTTCTGAAAGAGATCTTGGGGTACTGGTTGACTGCAGGCTAAACATGAGTCAGCAGTATGATGCAGTGGTCAAGAGGGCAAATGCCATCCTGGGTTGTATAGCCAGAAATATGGCTTCTAGATCGAGAGAGGTATTACTACCATTCTATATGATTCTGGTGTGCCCACAACTGGAATATTGTGTTCAGTTCTGGGCTCCACATTACATAAAGGATATAGCCAGGCTAGAAGTGGTGCAGTGTAGGGCCACAAGGATGGTGGCTGGATTGCAGGGAAATCCATATGAGGCGAGATTGAGGGAACTAGGTCTTTCCAGCCTGGAAAAGAGAAGACTAAGATGGGGTCTGTTGGCGACATATAGGTATGTGAGGGGGTGTCACACTGAGGTGGATAGAGACCTGTTTTCCCCTGCAGAGGAGGGCAGGACACATTCCAATGGAGCAAAGCTCAGGGAACCAAAGTTCGATTTGGATGCCAGGAAGTACTTCCTGACAGTTAGGACCCCTACACTATGAAATGGGCTTCCACGGGAGGTGGGTGAAGCCCCATTGGTGAGGGTGTTCAAGGATAAGCTAGACATGCACATGTTAGGCATGTCATGGGTGGAGCTGGCTGGAGCTGGGGGTCAGACTAGATGGCCCAGGAGACCCCTTCTGACTTGTTCTGTTTCTATATTTCTAAATTTAATGTGGTTATAAAAAGGCATTTTCATTTTTGTATTTTTAATAAAGCATTAAACAACACACAAAGCAAAACAGAAAACAGCATTCTTGGTTCTCATAGAATTAATGCTGGTTAGGACTAGGTAAAACACTCTTTAATAAGCAAAAGATATCACTTATCCAATAATTTTCAACTAACCACTTGCCCAAAGTCAGCAAAATTTGTTCCCCCAAAAAGTAGGTTGTTAGATAAAGAACACTAAATCTGCTATGTAACTTCAATGTGTTATGAGTTTTTTTTCTAGTGGAAAAGCTCTCTTAAACTCTCTGTGTGTGGGGGGCTGGGTAAGGGGAGAGATTAATTATGAAAATATCAAATGTTTGTTTATATGTTTTCAGTATCAAATCTACAACACATACATATCAAGTATAAGTCCATTTATAGAAAAACTAAACTGATCTAAGTGGAAAGCATTTTCTTGCACTGAATCTAAATTCATATAGGCTAGTAAAGCAAATATGAGAAAATTTAATATGAAAGTGATGTATTTATGTATGCTATACTTTGTAGCCTTGAGAAGCAAAAGACAAGTACTTGGAGTATGCCACTTATATTTCCAGAATTCAACAAGTTTATGTGTAAGTTCCTTCCTTGAGGAAAATGGATTATAGCTTGAAGTCTCATTTCTAATAAATATCGCTAAAACATATAGAGCTCACTTAAGTTTTCTGATGACCAATTTTCAACTGAAAAACCATTTGGCAACAGTGAGCCATTCTCATCAGCAATCTTAGAAATACTAGGCAAAACAGACATACCACAGTTTATCTGCTATTCAGTTCCTTCTTCACACAGGATTTGAAAGTAGTGTATTTCTGTATGCTTTTGTAGCCCTGAGAAGCAGAAGACAACGTGTGCATATGTAGGCAACATGTGCAGGCAGCCAGAGATAAGTGCATGAAAATACAAAAGAATGCTCTTTGTTAGTCACAGTGTAGACAGTGTAGGATATAACATTCATGCACTTGTGATGCAACTATGTATTATACAACTATATTACAGAATGATTACTTTTTCTATAGTACAGGACTTAAAATCTTGGTAAATAATTTGCGCTGCTGATAAAAAGATATTGGAATACCATCTCAAAAACTGTAAAATAGTTTCTGCTGTTAACTTTTATGCAACTTAAAATTATAACAAACATCCAGACTAAATTCTCTGGTGATACAGTAACTGTCCGCAAGGTGGCAGCTTAAACATACGAAATGCATACAGAGAAGATCGTTTATATCTACCCTTCAAAACAATTTTAAAAGCAAGTAGTACATTTGTTATGGAATTTGTTGGAATTCACCAGGAATATTCCACAATTTATAATTCTTAGGGGTCCATTCATAATTTCACACAATGAATTAATGCAAAATTACACAACAGTATCTGTAGAATCGTTTAAAAATACTTTGTGACAAAATTAATTTCAATGGCTACTATTAAGCCAATTTCTTGACTTTAGAGGGCACTCAAGACAACAGATTCAGACCTCTAAAACTACTTGAGGCAAAACTACCAGGCAAAAGCTTTTAAACAACAATTTCCCAAACACTGTATTAACAAATTTAAGCCAACTTTCCACACATTGTAATGTCAAGATTAAACCTGCTAGATTATGAACTGATGACCTGCTTGAGTCACACTGAAATCTTTCTGCTTGTAGACATGGCTATGGGGAAAATATAAATTAAGGTTGGATGCAGCTAAACCATATGGCCATAGTTTAGCTTTGAGAACCACTATAGATTAAAAACAAATGTTGTTTCACTGCTGAGTATTAATACTTATTATTATAGATAGTAATATTTAAACAACAACATTTAAAATACCACAAAACATATCTATATGGCATAATTCTTAAACCCACTTGGGATTGAAAAGCAGTACAGGAATGTATTAAATAATTAACCTGCAAATGGTTGGGGAAATAGCAATGCTTAGGTAGTTTACTTGCTGCTTATATATCTAAAACAAGTGAATAACAATTATTTTATGATTAAGATATCATCTAAAACTTACCCTGAATCCTCGATGCAATCTGTCTTTCATGATGCCAATAAATTCTTTGTAGCTCAGTTGATCATCTTTATCTACATCAAAGATCTTGAAGACTGTGTTCACTAAATGAGGAGAAAGCTTCAAGCCCGTAGCTACATACACAGCACGTTTGAATTCATCTTAGGAACAAGGTGAAAATAATCACACAATGATGGCATTAACTGATCATCATACAAAAAAAATCCACCATTCCCCAATTCTGATAAATGCAATGTTGTACAACATCAACATCAACAACGCACCGTTGCCTTGTCAGTTTCCTTGTATGTTCCCCCATTCTACTTGGGTATTCCCTTTGACATCTCAAACAAAAAGGAAATTGACCAAGACTACACATATTGAAGAGCTGCAGGAGTGCTCCTGTACACTGGTACAAGGCAAAGCAAGCAAGCAAACAAATTTGCACAATTTTATGGACTGAAAAGAAAAAGGTGGCAATGACAAATAGTGGATACTACAAAGTTCCATTTGGGCATTGGTGGTGGAGCAGTCACTGGTAGTACCATGGATGATTTTGTGAAGAGTGGCAGGGGTCTGGGCTGCTCTTCTGATTGGCTCTGTAGCCAATCCTAACAATCCACAATGAAATTGCTTCCCTGCATTCAGATGACATGGCAACTGATGATGGTTCAAAAAACTTCTAAACTAAGCCATGGATTGTCAGGGTAGCTTGTGCACAAAAAATACGCCACCCTGCAGAAATTGGTCCCAATTCAACAACTGTTTTAGCTAGCTACTCACAGTGGTTTGTCATATTGTACAAATCAGGTCAAAATGAACTTTAGGACAAGCTCAACATTAGGACAGTCAAGCTTCAATAGAACTTTGCACCTAGATAGGGTGATGTGCTGTGGTTAATACTGGAGATACTGGTCAAGTCTGGATGCAATGGTGCACAATATTTTAGTATCGTGAAAATGGGCTTCAGTGAGCTTTGGATGTGCAACTCTGCCCCCCCCCCACCTTTCTGGCACTAATGAAAGGAGATAGGAAGCTTATGTTTCCATTTTAAATTAATCACAGTTTAGTGTGTTGTCTGAACCCTAAATAGTTATTTGAAACAAGATAGCTTCATAAACAAGTTTAAGCTACCTTATTTCACTAAGACATGGCACATAATGTGCTTATGTGTTGAATAAGCACATTAAAGTTGAACATATAGTATAATGAACTTGCCCTGAGCCCAAAAGCCAGGATAGAAACTTGTATTCAGCTAAGGCCTTATGACCTTCCATTCTCTGGAACAGCACCAGAGATAATACCCTTGAAGCTGCCTTCCCTGATATTTCTGTAGATAAGGACAGCTTTTACAGTGAGACCAAACTTACTGAAGCAGCTTCCTTTCCCCATACCCATTTCTCAGGAGGGAGGGGTTAGAACTTTTATGTGCTGGTAGATCCTACAATAGTGGGAGAGAGCAACTTAATAAAATTCAGGTCTGATAGCACTATCTTTTTTCTTGGCACAGGGGGAGGAATTGATGTGTTGTTTGCCCAGGCAATTTTGCAGGCCCAATGGGCATCCCAGGCCTATTCAGGGACCCAGTGTGGCCACAGAAAAAGAGAATGTGTTTTCTTTTGCTTGTTTATATTCTGCATCCATGGTTCATCTTTGTATTCAATAAACGGTTTAGCATCTTTGAGACAGGTATTTTCCTGTTTTCCTAAGCATCTTTGAATCTGAAATGAGGTGCCTCAACTGGCCCAGGCCCCTATATTAAAACACCATATAGATTAACCGCAGTCTGTATGTGTTCAGACTACAGGTAATCTTAAATTTCTACACATAACCACACCAGAGGAAGAGGGGAGAGGGTATGAGCCCAAGGATTGCTGCAGCTTGTTCTCAAAACAATAAAACCTGATTTGGTATTATTAAGGTATTATTACATCCAAGTGGAACACTTGTGGATTTAGAAGAATCAGGACAACATATCTCTATAAAAAGGTTTATATAAGGGCAGCAAAAGTGCTAAAGTAATACAGAGTAGGTCTGTTCAGCCAATATTTATTAGCTACTGAGGAAAGTCTTTGATATACATGCATAATGCCTCATAGACTGCAAAATATGCATATATTTTGGGATTTTGGAAAGACAGGCCATCCAGAAGGATGCAACTACGTATAATATAACAACAGAAAGCTTCCAAAACACTATGAAACAACAGTGGATGAATGTGGAAGAGCTGTTTAAGAAAAAGAGAACTGCTTCCCTTCTAATAGTAGGCATTCTCACCTTGTCCTATTGAACGGTTTGCAAAATTGTACATTTGCATTGCAATTGCAAAGTCTTCTAGATTGTTCAGAAACTGGAAAAATGATCTGAATTCATCAAATGTAATGCCCTGTTAAACAATATAATATTGGTATTAGTGGCACAAAATGAATGGTGCAAGAATCTTTGCTTGTCTGGCACCAGCAGATAGAGAGCCATCACACATAGCTACCCACATAGCTGTAACACTTCTGTAGCAAGCCAAGCTGTATTAGATGAGAAAGGATGTCTGCTTCAATAGCACGGCCTGTGCTTACAGGAACTGCTTTGGTTATGATTTACTATTACAAAAACGTTGAGTAGTTTGAAACTAGAAGTAATATAATATACTCAAACCTTAAGTGGAAGTGTTAAATAAGGACATAAAAATAACTCATGCAACCCCATACATATTTATTCACAAATAATCCTAATCAAGTTCAATAAGACGTATCCCAGGTAAGCAGTACTCTGAGTAAGCAATAATAGGACTGTAGTCTAGGTCTAGAATTGTCTTTTTCTATTTTCTGACATTTATAGTACATACATTTAAAAATTCCAAGCTACAACTGTTTAAAATTCCAAGCTACAACTGTTTAATCTACAGTAGGAGGACTTTCCAGCTGAAGCCTTTAGAGGAAAGAATGTCATAGCAAGGTGCAAAGGACATCAAGTATTTTGCGTTAGTTACTTAAGAAACAGATCACAGCTAGATGAAAGATTTGTTACTGTAAAATAATTCCATGCTCCTGAACAAAGCACACACAGTACTATCTACAAATGCTGGAGATATTTACTGCAACACCTGCAAAAACCTTATGAATGGCTCCAGCTTGAGGGCATCCATCTCAAAAGTTAACACCACTAAAGGAAAGGACAGTTATAACAGTGGGATGGAAGAGACTCTACCTAAGCTACACAGACTCATATCCATAAACTGCACATCAATTCATTACTGAAGTAACTTTAAAATCCTAAATTAGAGATTATCCAACTACCATAACAAATAGGCCAGAAGGCAGAGATCTTTCAAGACATTTCCCCTGCAATGTAGCTCAAATCAGTTCAGGATTGTAAACTGAAAAGAACTGTAGCTCAGGATCTTAGTGGGGCAGTATTTCTGTATATAAGGGTATCTTATTTGTGGAATTAGAAAATAAGACATTGGAATTCAAACTGTAATCTTTCTATTCCCACACTATGCACTTTAATATCCTTTTAAAGAGTCTGTGCTTCTGTAATGGGTTTGGAATGCAAGGCAGATAGTTAAAGAAAATAATGACAAGGTATGGGTCAGGAGGGAGGTGGCTTGAGTAGTTGTGTCACGTGATGATCCCACCCAATAATAATAAGTCAACTGGAGCAAGTGCTAGTTTTCAAATTCTCTGACAGTATAAATCTCATGCAGTTTGTAGTGCTTTCCTGCTTTTAACATAAATTAAGTCTGTCTGCAAAATCTGAAGAATTCAAAACACAGAGGTTTCTTCTGCTCATTAACAGAGCAATTCTTGAAATGCACCAGTGGGAAATAATGAAGTGGATCTATCACCACATTGAAAGCCCTTCTTGGTTGAACTAGTCAGAGTAAAAGATGTGTAGTTTTGCAGGGCTATTCAGCCTGACAGTTCCATGTACTTACTATTTCCCCTCCACTGAAGAAATTGCCATGCAAGGTCTAATGCTATCATAGTCAATAGGCAAAGATCGGGTCCATCTAGGGCACTGGAGAAACTTTGGACTCAGTAGTTCCTGCTCACCCTGCCCATGAGATGCTGCATTTCAAGGCTTACTGCAGATGGCAAATTTCTGCCTACCCAGGTTCAGTAGGGGCCTCTGTAGTAATGGTGTGTGTAGGGAACCCTATCTAGCCATCAAAACTGTGGGGTCGGGGAACAGGATGTGCTCCAATTCTCTCGCTTGCCCTCTCCTTATTTTGTTGGAATTAACTCATTTTTATGCCTCCTTTAATCCTGTGATTAGTATTTCTGTTTTTAGTAGTAGCTTATACTATAATTAATATTTCTTGATAGCATTATGCTTTAATCTAAATTTGCTGAGAACCCTATTTGTGTTGTTTATCTAAACATATTGGCAATTGTCGTTTTGTTTGTTTCTGTGTGCACTCTTAGGTACCACTAACTGTTCAATTATCCTTACTGTTTCTCTCTCTCTCTCTCTCTCTTTTTTTTTTGGTCTCATAAACTAAAATGTCAAGACATGGAAATGTAGCCATGGAAAAGTCAAATTATTTACAAGTACTTCTAAAACAGTTAAACCTGATCCTTTTGCAAACAAGTAAAAGTGAATTGTATCCAAACCATCCCATGCTTGAAGAGGTACTTGTAACATCAACTCGATTAGTTTGCATTGATGCATTCAGTTTCCACTTGATCTTTATTGTTGAAATGTACTGTTGATAGCACATTTGTTTCCTAACAAATATAGTAGCTGCCAACATTATTTACTTCTGTAACTGCTCAGGTTCTTTGAAACTTTTGTTTAGACACTGAAGAGCTACTAATTTAAAAGTGGCTTTAGGGAGAAGCAGATGAAACAGTGAACTTGTTCTCTCTTGGTGGTTCTCTTTTTAATCATTTTATTCAGATGAGAATAGCACCAAGGACACGTCATTGTTCTTCTCAAGGCAAACAACTAAAACCATTTTGCTTTCCTACTCCAGGTTTGCAAAATAGGAAGAGATATGCCAATCATAGGGGGCAAGCTGGCACAGTCTGTACAGTCCGAATATACATATTTTAACAAGCAGAGCCTGCAATAAAGGGTAGTAGTGTGGAGTGCTGCTGTTCAGGATTTTAGCCATGCTTTGTTCCAGGATACTTTATTCTTTCCACATCAGGTTCTTTCACTACCACCATCTTCCAGCAGTTGGAGGATGCTAAGCTTGACTGGGGTTTCCCCCTTTGGGGTGTTCCCCCTGCAAGGTGTTGGGGTTTGTTTTTTGGTTTTTTTTTTGGTACTTCTACAAGCCTTGGGATTTTTCTCAAGCCTATCTCACCACATTCTTGTTTATGAATGGTGCCATTTTGGCTATGTAGCATTTGGATAACTGAGCTCATCATTAGTATGTATGATTCTGTTTTAATGTAGCATGTTGGGAAAATGCCAAGTGTCACAGAAAAGTCCTGAGATGTTTGTAGGGGACGGGATAGAAAAACTTTGAATAAATAGATAAATCAATCAATAAATAAAGTACCACAACTCTTTGCCTGCCTACCCAGTCATCTTTCAGTTTGTACATCATTAATCCAGAATGTCTGGTCATTTAAAATGAATTAGACTCAACCAGTAAACAGATTTTAACCATGTGTCTCCCCTTTCCTTTTTTACAATGGTGTGTTAAACCTTGCCCCCACCCCACTTTTCACAGTTGGTAACAGCTTATGATCAGACTGTTAAAAAGGAAGCAATATTCTGTGCAAATGCTGCAGATAGCTAAGTCCCTGTTTACTCACTTGCTCTTCTGGAATACTGCAGCGTACATTTTCCAAATAGCTTGATGTATTTTCCACATTAGTATATCTTAAAAGAATATGAGCAAAGTCTTCCTCACTGATGGTATTCATTCCATTAGAGTAGGAAAGAAATTCTATTTCAAGAACTTCAGTTTGGAGGTTATCCATAAACCTAAGATATAACAGTATTGATATGACAGTTTCAGATGTCCAATTGTGTAGGAGAAAACTAGTATCTCAACTCTGGTACACTTCCAGCATTGTACTTCCTTGAAATCTTCTCCTAGCACAGGGATGAGTAACCTTATTAGATTCAAGGGCTGGACTGCCTCCTAAGGCAGGAGAGTGGGGCTTTTCCCCGAAGTCCATTCTCAAATCAGCCCACTGTTCATGCTGAGAGGGGATAAAATAAGCTTGTCTGCTTCCATTAGCATGAAGGAGATAGCAACCAGCTTCTCTCTCCTCACTCTTGTCACCCCTGGAGGATGAGAGCCAGATGAAAAAGTTGTACACCCAACTGTCATGTGGAACAGCCTCCAGGCACTGTCTGAGTGTGCAGCCAGCTTCACTCCTCACCTTCCTGGTCAGGAATGTGAACTAAGAGAAGGGGAGGTCAATCAAAGTCAGCTCCTGCTTCTTACGGAGATGTGTGAGTCCTGAGAATGTCTCAGGCTAGACTCTGCTCCTATTCCCTTCCCTGCTGTGATCAGAGAAATGGGAGAAAAGCTGGCTTGGAATGCAGCAAGCTCCATTTTGTTCCTTCCTTACCTTTTCCACTTGGGAAAAGTGATAGAAGAGCAAAGCAAGGAGCCACTTGAGCTCACTTTGCTCCATCTTCATATTTCCTGATCAGATGAGCAAAGTGGACTGAGTGGAGGCCTTGAGAAATGTTCCTCCAGACTGCAGCACAGTTACTTCTGCCCCCTCTGTCTTCTTGGAGTGGGCAGAGATACAGGGAAAGGCAATCAGCTGGGGCCTCACACTGGATGGGGATGCATGACAGGCCAGATTCTGCCCACAGGCTAAAAGTTCCCTATTCCTGTGCTGGAGTATTAATTCAGTACTAATTTAATAGCAGGTGTTATTAGTGGCAATTTAACTGTGATATTTATTCAAACATTTCAATACCTCCTTAAGGGGTCTTACATCTGGATCTACATATAGAATCTGAAACGCACTCAGTTCTATTTACCAGCAAACTGTGTGCTTGAAGTCAAATTCCCTAAATATAAAATATCAAGTTGCATATATTTCAAATTCATTCCATTCCTCCCAGAATGTTTAGTAGAAGAATCCATCATTAGGACTACAATAAGATTTGCATTCATTGCATGGAAACTTCCCATTTAATGGCATATTACAATTTGGGCCCTTTGTTCTTTGACATAAATTGTGTTTTTGTTTTAGAAAACAGTTTCATTTTTCAAATCTACAAATCAGAAAAAGTATCTATAAAGTAAAGATAGCTACACCTTTTGAACAGTATCCAATGTTGTGCTAGTACAAAACCGTATTGGCACAATGTCATTGCCAGGCAAAGGATATGAATGGCAATTTGCACTGAATTTCACTGACAACCTGTACCACCAAAACTCAACAGCAAATTGCCACTTTCTCCTTTGGTCTAGCATAATGAATTTATGGTAGCATAATGAATTTAGTGCTAACATTTGGGAACACTGGATAATGGCAATAGACAATATTATGTGCATGTATATGTATTATTTCTAATATGACATAAATCAAAGCATATGCATTTACTGAAAGAATAAAAACAACCTTTACCTGTAAAAATCTTCAAAGTTAAGCTCAGCTTTTCCTTTCTTGCCAAAAAAGTGTACCAGCAAAGTAGTATCAGACAGCAAATTGGTGATATCATCTGCACGCTTAAAATATAATATAGTAATCCTTTAAACTTGTAATCGTTTTAATAATGCATCAACAAAATATTTTAGCAATACATTATACTTAAAAATATAGTCTTAAGACTAAATGTATGTTAATACATATAAAATCTATTGTATTTGCAAACTCAGTAAGATATTAGTTGTACATATTCAGAATGTTTGCAAAACAGTTAGCAATTTATTAATCATACTTGCCTACATGATGCATATCAAATATTAATTGTCTCTAGATTTAGAAAGTTTTAAAAAGAGCTATGATGATCCGTGATGAGAAAACAAGACAAAGACTATAGGATCAGATGAAATGAATTAGAAAAATGGAAAAAACTAATGAAAATAAGTATGTTTATTATTATGGCAGAAAGTCAAAATGTCATTGCAACTGTATTTGCTGAAGGAAATAATTTGCTGGGGAGAATAAAATTATGGCACCTCAACTGTTCATGACATTTTGGTTTTTGATATGTGTGTTATAGCTCTGCAAATATCTGTCCATGTAAAAATGACAGATTCCACCTTTTATGAGGAAAAAAGTCAAGTATGGACAGAGAAAGGTTGGAACTCTAAGAGACTGCTCTATAGGTAAGTCTATAAATGTACAGATTGAGATATTTTCACCTTTACAGCTTTTAAAGAATATCTGATCAAACTGGTTGACTTTCAGTTTCACATACCACACAACCCAGATCTAGATACTTGCTGCAAAACACTATATTGGTTTCAGAGATAGTATCATGGCTTATTTATATTTTTATACAGAATCAACTGCTATTGCAATTTTCCATTTCCAATTTATTCTTCTTACTTTGTTATAAAACTGTTATTCTCCTGAAAATGCAGTCTTGACCTATAAAGCACAACTTAAATAATCAGGACAAGAAAAACCTTGAAGGAGGCTGCACTTGATGCTGACAAATAAAACTGACAAATTAACATTACAGCAGCAGCTTCCAAAATCATTGAGTGTAGTTGGACACATTCCTGAAGTGGTGTGAAATCAATTTACAAGGCAGATGTCTGGTGCATGGTAAGACTTCTGTTCTTTAGGTCATCACAGAAGACTACCACAATTTCTTTGATCTTAAAGTTTTGTGAATCATTGGGAAACATTTCAAGCTAAATTAATTTCATTCCTCAAAAATACAAATACCCACCACAATTCTCCCATACTAGCAATCAATACTAATTTGTCCTAGAAACATTGTTTAGATGGCTCTGTTAGGAAGATGTTCTAGTAAAACATTTCGGGACATAAATTAGAAGAATAGAGAATAGTTTGCAAAAATAAACATTTCTAGCTTGTCTACTTCAAAGCTACCCAGTAAATAATATTATTTAACATTAATGTACAGTATTATGAACCAAGCCTGAGACACCCTTCAAGGCAAGAGAAGCACTCTTATTAGTCCAATTAGTTTTGGATGTCTGCAAATAATTAGCTATTGATATTATACTGCTATGGGGTTCAGTGAGGGAGAATCCACTGTGAAGCTATGACCACTTTCTACATTCAGCCAGATTTGTGAACAGTAGCTTTTCCCTATTTCTTTTTCTCTCCTATTCCTCCTTTTTAAATTTATCTCTTGCCATAGCTTCCAACTTTTAATGTTTGGCAAACATTAAAATTAAGAATTTAAAGCTGCAGCAACACAAAGTAATTCACAAGTAACAAAATATTATGCTGTATTTTCATTAAATTGGAATTTCATGATAACCTCCCTCTCTCATTTGTGAGACTTCTAAATTACACCATGCAAAAGTTAGCAAGAATTCAGACATACTTGTTTATTTACAGGTGAAAAAAAAAAAAGAATTAGAATGTACACAGCTCAGCTCAAGTGACATAACCAGCTTTGGTAAAATGACAAAAATGTTAATCTTTGTTAATACAGGCAAGAAAACATTCTGGCTATACTCTGGATGTGGTGAAAGGCAATAATAAGCGCCATGCCACTCTCACCACGTTTGTACTGCCTTGGTCCCAAGTAACGTTCAAATGGTGTGAACAGCTTTTCTCTAGTTGCAGCAGCACTGACTGCTCTTGCCTGTACTTGTCATCTCTTCACAAGGCTATGAGGCAGAAGCACTGGGTCTGGTTCTATGATGTGCTGCAGCTGTGGTCCACTTTAGTAATATTCAGCTGGAAGAGTTTCATTAAATACTTAGCAATAAGAAACCCTACATATATTTCTAAGTGTGTGGCCCTTATGTTATCATTTCTCCATCACTAATGTAACATAGATATTGGTTTTATTTAACCACTATTTTTTTAAAAAAAGATTGACTCCTTATACCAAAGTCACTTTAATGCTTATCTGAAGAACTCATTATCAGTCTATATGAGAAATATCTTCTGTTTCCTTCCTTTGCTTGTTGCTCTGGGAAAATAACCCAATTAAGACAGATTAATGACAATTTACCTATTTTGTATGGTTCTCTTGTTTTCTCCCTGCAACTTGAATATTTAAAACCTGTACTGCTAGTTCCATTCTTTCTCCCTCACTCCAGAAGAAGGTAGAGAAATGAGGATTTTTAAAAATATGAGTGAGAATATGCATGAATTGGGCACATTCATATGATTTTAAGAAGTTATGTCATGGCAAGCTGGCCTGGAAACTGAGTACATGGTGAAGCAATTATACAACCTCTTTTCTACAGAATTTATGTTCAGCATTTACAGTCATGGACCTGCCTGCACACAAAAATAATTGCAGGTGCAATTCTATGGCCACACAACACAGTCTAGAGGTCATAGCTCAGGTCAGGGTCCCACCTCAGAAATTTGTTTCAAGGCTGGATATAGAATTCCAGCCACAGAGTCTTTCTGCCCATGTGGCCAACATAGTTCTTGTACACCAGCTGTGATTCTTCAATCCCAAGTATGACTTTGGAGATGGGTGCAGGGTGGGTGGGGAAGGGTGTGTGACAGACTGAGGATCTGCTGGGATGCAAGGAAGCCTAGTGTGCCTCAGCTGCTCCTTATGGTGGCAGGGGCAAAACACATAGGCAGCTGAAATCAGTTTTTCTGTAGGAAGGGAGAAGCACAGAGACAATCCTCAACTGGATGCTCATAATCCTTTGAGTTTGCACAGCAACAGAATGCCACATCAGATGCTGCTCAGTGTGAATCAATCATTGCAGTGAGTGAAAAAAAAAAGTAGGGCAGTCAATAGTTGGCCTCTAAAAGAGAGTATGTGGAGTAATTTACCTATGAAGTGGTAGATATAAATAAGGCCACTAAAGACTTTTTATCTGGATAGTTGCTATTTTACAACGTCCTGTGCATAAAACTAAATAAAATGCTTTAGTCCCAATTTGCCAGATAAAATATTTTCTTTGGTTCTCATAATCTTGGGATTTTGTTTATTAATACATTTTGTTCATAAAATATATTCATTCCTTTTGTTAAGAAACAAAGAAGTCTAAATGTCTGCTGTTTCTTAATGTGTTTCTCCATAAATATAAATATAAGAATTACCTTTTTTCTAGCTGGGAGGTCTGCAGATCACCCATTAGGGCTTCCATCCATTAGCAAGTAGGACACAGAGCTAAGGTCAAATACATTTTCAACCTGCCAGACAAGGTATGTACAAGAGGGCATTTTGGTAGGTATAACCCTGCTGCAGCGGAAGAAATGCTCTGTCCAAATTCCCTCTTTCACATGTCTGTTAAAGTTAGATGTTTCCTGATAAGCCTAGCTATGAACTCTTCCTATATAACTCGTGCAGTAGTAGATGAGGTATCATTTTAACCACACAGACTTTTTAAAAAATTAGGTATTTCATTAAATGGAACCCCTGATTCTATTTTTTTGGCCCTTCAAATATATGATAATTCTAGACATGTGGAAAGGCTAGTTATATCTATGATGAAGTACTTAAAACAAATATGATACTCAATATTTTCAGGATGTGAAACACAAGACTATTTTTCCACACATCTGGCAGCTTAAAGTGATGGTATTTAAAGATTTATGGCAAATACTTAACAAATCCTGGTAACAAACAAGCAATAGCCAAAAGAAATCCAAAAGCAAGAAAAAAATCAATGTTAAAAGATATAATATTCATAATGGACAAAAACAATACAATGTAACATGTAACACGTACATGAAATACAGTTTATGGACCACATAGAGGTTTTATTATACCTCTGCAAGGTCTGAAAAGAGTGCCTGGCTCGTGCTACGTCTCAGAGTATCCCAATAGCTTCTTGGAACAAGGTCCTCTCCTTCTGTTTTTAGCACCTGTAAGATTTTTAAAATTCATAGGTGTTGGGGGAAGGAAAATTAAATTAAAGGATGTCCAAAAGCACCTTACACACTTTCACATCTTTGTGAAAAAAGGAGAAAGCTTTATGAGACTTCATTTTTCTTTCTTCCTGCACAAAGAAAAATATTTTATAACACAGTGCCAAGAACACATTCCCATTTTTAAAGAAATTCCTCCAAGTAGCACTTCTTTATTTATGATGATGTGATCTTATAAGAAATGTATTTCAGCATGCTTTTAAATATAATTTTGCACATCAGATTACAAAATTTGGTTTTGAATTCAATACTGAAATAACAGCAAGTATGAAAGTGCACTTGTACATATTTGAAGGAGGTTGGTTCTTAAGAGAGACTGATATTTTCCTACAGAATGCTTAGGAAAAGGTATGCATTTTAGAAAAAAAATAATGTGGATGCATTTCAGAAAAAGTTTCACTTAAATTGCACTGAAATAAATTAGACTCTAGTTATACTAAAAAGTTTCATTTATTTCTGTGCAACTTGTAATTAATTTTCACAAAACTGGACTAGTTAATTTTGCTAGATAAAAGCACTATGGAAATTTAAGAACTTTTTCTATTTTTTTTTAATATGAGAGAATTAAACTTATGCTTAACTCTCTAATTAAATCAGCAGAATTTAGTGAGTGTTTAACTTTGGTTGGATTATGCTGAGAGTTTTGAACAGAAGCCAGCATATTTTCTCAAAAATAGATTAAAAGAATTTATATATATTACTTGCTAATGTAGACATTTTTCTTCAGGCAAAAAAGCTTTCTTTAATTATATGCTAAGAAATTATGTTCTTATTTTAGGTTTTCTGTAGCGACATGTTAGATGACACACAGTGAAGCTTACAATGTATACTGTGTCACCCTTATGAAAATTACAACTATTCTATAAACTGATTCCTAAATACATTCAGGAACAGCACAATCAATTTCAACAGAAACAACATGTGATTATGCTTAGTAATAACTAGACTCCAAACATGAAACTATATGGTGCAATTTCAGACTCTGTTATATACAAAAGAAAGGTAGGCTTGGAGAAACTAAAGGGCTGTAGCACAGATCACTGTGATTAAAAAGAATGGTTGAGCGGGGATAGAAAAAAGGAGACAATAATCTTGACATAAACATCTAGAAGCATGCCAGGCATCTGTAAGTTTGATATGTTCATGGATGCTTTCCAGTGACAGCTTCGTTGAGGGGAGATTTATGAGAGTTATCAAAGCTGTCAACCCCAATCTTCTTTAAATTGTAAAAAAGGGGAGCTATCTCTTCATACAAGCTAAATGTTGTTTGTCATTATGGAGATCCATATGAAATATTTCTCGCTATATTTGGGTGAAGACATCAACATCAGTCTACCACTGTGAACATTTCTTTCTTTTCAAGGAATGGGGTGTTGCTTAGTGACAGAGTACATACTTTGTACACAGAAGATTACAGGCAGCACTAGAAAATAATACTGTCTGAAACCCTTAAGAGTTATATTTAATTCCCCATATCTGCCATCATTTGTATGGACTGCAATTCATATCTCATTAGAATTTCACTAGTGGGAATGGATGTAGCTTACACTCATACATACAGCCCATTTAAATCTTACATTGTCAAGATATGGTTAGCGTACCTTAGAGATGTGAGAAACGTATATTACAGCTAGGGATGTGCAGTAATTCACAATGCATGGAAGGATCAGGACAGAGGGAAGAAGATAGTCCATTTAACACTTTGTTGTTATATACCCTGCTTACAGGCTTATTCTGGGTGGAGGCTTCTGGGAGCTATCTCCAAAAGGCATCTTTTCATGCTTCCCAGGACAGAAGACACTTGCTAATGAACTCTCATACAGTTCTTGGGTTATTCCTAGTGACTGAGGAAGATGTGAGATGTTTCTACACAGCCATCTTCTCTCCTATTTCACATACTGCAGAATAGGTGACAGAAGCAGCATTCTTAGGGGAAGAGGAATAAGAGTTAGGGTGAGCGCTTAAGGGTGGAGAATCTTGTGTTTCCAGCAGTGACCGTCCCTAGACGGTCTGTCTACCTTGCCATGTTCCACCAGCTGGGACTAGGTTTTAGTTGTTATTAAAGCTAGATTTGAGGGAAGGTACAAGTGTGAAGTAAGACTTCATAAATTGCATGATAACCCATCCTTTAACTGATTGTTGTTTTGCATGACCTAACTTCTTGTCAAATTCTAGCAACCAAGAAAAGAGTTTTGAAGTCTATAATCAACATGTTAAGTGAAACAAAAATAATCTATTTACTTGTTGCATTCATTTTCCTATTTTGAATTATGCATGCAATCTTGATCCGCTAGAATAATTGGGGGTACTATTTCCGTAAGTGTCAGTGGCATGAATATACATATTTTTATATCTAAAATACTACAAATAAGAACTTTCATAAGAAATAAATATTAAATATTTTGCTTAAAACGTGGCCATACATAATAGGTCTGTTGTATATAGTTCAGTAGTTGTGATGGTTTCTCCCAATCAATTCACTCGTTCACAAAAAGTCTCTTTAGAAGAGTCAAAGACAGTGTACTTGTACAAGCAGCATAGTAGCTTTCAATTTCAACTCAGGGGAAAAAACATGTTTTCTAGACCAACATTTGATTCTAAAAGAATGATTTGGTTTTTTGATCTCTTAGGAAGATAACTCCAGGTTAATGGAATGTGTCTCTAAGGAGCATTCACAACATGTGTCTTTCCTAATTGTGAGCACTCAATGCTACAATCCTAATCATGGGCTTTTAGGCAAAAGTATTATGTGAATGGTGAAACAAAGAGACTAACAGTGAGTGCTTTTGTCTACACCATTCCCAGAATGTATTAGCATAAAATCCTAGCACAGGAATAATCCTGAGAGAGAAAAATTTTACACTGAAAAGAATAACTTTTTCATGATAGTCAATTTTATCTGCTCAATTCACTACTAAATGTTAGCATTTTTCAATTATACATGCATCATCTGTACCCAATTATATATTACATTACAGTAATTAGTGGTGATACACTTCAGCAAGTCATATGATACATGCAAGGCATGCTAACTGCATGCACCAGGCAGTTTTAATACACAATATGGAAAGGGTAGAGTTCTTTTGTTCTATTTGTAGAGCAATCATGTCTGTCATATATGCTAAATGGTTCTGTATTAGTTTGCACTGTCTGAGAAATGGAATTGATACTAGAAAGGGCTGATGATGAAAAAATAATTCATTTATGAAGAAATCGTCTTTCTTGTCTCCCTCATCTTTTAACTCCTGATCCAATTGTTCTGGGCTAGAGAAGTCAGGCTCCATACTAAAGCCTGCTCTAGTTTTCCCATTCTGTCAATTGCCAATTACAGGACCTGGCTGTCCCCTCTTGAAGTCAACTTGAAAGTCCTACCAGGCCTTTTCTCTCCTCAAGCCTCTGTGTCCAAGACTATTCCAACATGGCTTATGCTTTGCCCACTGTTGAATCTAATATCTTAGTCCTAAAATCGTATCAGTCTATGAACCCTCCCTAAATGGTATGGCTAGCTGAATCACAATGTTGATGTCTATAATCTAATAATAAGTATTAAGACATGTATTTAATTATTAGAAAAGAAAGTGATGTGGTCTTTCTATCTGGAATCTTAAAATTAAGAACACTTTGAGACAGTGACTGGGTTCAGACATGATAACTCACACTCAGGGGTTAAGGATGGGCTGAATGAGGGTTACTGAAATTTGCATTATCATGTTGTCTGAACCAAGCTGCAGTAGGAAGCCATGGCTTCTTAACCACAAGCAACCTATAAAAAGAAACTACAGGTGTGAAAGACCTTTTCACCATGGTTTATTATCCTGTATGTGCTCAAAAAACATGGTTGTGTTTCAATAACAACCAAAAGTTCAGTGGCAACTCACACTCAAACCTGAGTGTGGGTTATTGTGCTTTCTGAGCCCAGTTCCTGACTCTTTGTGCTCCCACAAAAAAACTAATTGTTCTAAAAATAAAATAAATATAAAATAAAATAACCAAAGATCCTCCACACCCCTCCAAAAGCTCTAAATTAGTTTAAGAACTACTAGCTATTGCACCTGCCATCAGGTCCCTTCAATAGTCCTTTCACCCATACTCCTGTCAGATCAACTGTGGAGTAAAACTGAAGTGCTACCTGAGGAAAGTACCAGGCAAAAATCACAGAAGCTGCAGCCTCTCCTGCTGCCTCAGGACTTAATAGATAATATTACTGAATATTTATTTTCTATACATCAAAAGTTCATACTTTAAAAACATTTATAACTGAGTACATACAGCATTAGTAGGACTGTGGTATCCATAAAGCTGGAGACGCTGACACATAACAGTAAGAATGAAGTGTAGAATTTCATTTCAAAATGAAGCCAAGGTAAAAAGAGAAAGAAGACAACAATAGGTCAATATATACAGGCCTCCATTTTACATGTTATGAAAGACCGTTTCCAATTAAATAGAGTTACTTAGTTTTTAATAAAGGCTTAGCATTATTTTATGATTCAAAGGGTCTTCATTTCTAAAGGACAGTCAAATCATATCACCATCTCTAGAAAACAAAACTATGCAAGACCAGGAACAGTGTGGAATTTTATTCCCACTGAAACTCACATGGGAACCAGTCTTTCAATAAAGCAAAAGCATTTCTGTAGCAGGTCCAGTGCATGTTACTTCAGGCCAGTTCTGGATTTGCTCTGGCAAATATAAGTAGGCTGCTTTTAGCTTTTCTAGATGGTATGTGAGGGTTTAATACAGACGCCAGACCATAACAGAACCCTCTCACATTTGAAATACTATGTTTCATCAAAGGAAATGTTTCTTGTCTCCCACTCACTGGCTCAGAAGTACTCTCTACATCCTACATTTGGAGAAGATTTGAATCAACATGTTTCAGACCCAATGGTGGATGTATTTTATTGCCTTTGCCTTGCTTGAACCAAGTGTATGAAGCCATAACAGCTTTCATAATCCATTCCAAAGTTTTAGTGAAACAGAATAAAATTACTTTGCCTTAACTACTGGACTGGTTTGTAAATGGTTTTGCCCATCCTTAGAGATGACACTAGGGAGGTTTTTTAAAATGATGAGGAAAACCCTTTCCATTTATTGCCATTCACTTCTAGCAAAGTGGTTAACAGTTCTGACTAAAGGTTTTTTCAATTATTTATTTTTAAAAATAGAATCATAAGTAGATAGAGTTATATCCCTATAATGCTAAAATTAAAATTCACTAAAACAAAACTTTTCTGGTCACCATCATGAACCACCATCCTAAAATGGCAAGAACTGGAAAGGATATGTACAGGAGTATAGTGCTCCAACACTTGTTTTAAGTGATATTTCAAGATTTATACACACAGCGACAGTTTTAGTACTACTTAAAATTCAATTGAAAAAGACAAGTGATAAAAATAACACTTATTGTTCTGAGTCACGTGCAATGGGCTTAGCTGCCCTGTAAATCATTATCCATACTAAAGCTGTATTCCTTAAGACAGAAGTGTGAGAAGATAAGAAAAGCCATGCTGGATCAGACCAAAAGTCCATCTTGTCCTTATATACAGTGGCAAACCAGATGCCCACCGGTTTTCTCAAGCAGGATGGTTGCAAGACCTCCTTCTGCCCAAGCTCCTCAGCAACTGGTGAATACAGGCATGCCACCTCTGGAAAAGGAGGCACTGCATAGCCCACAAGGCTAGTAGCCACTGATAGCTCCCTCCCTCATGAATCTGTCCAATCCCTTCTTAAAGCCATCCAGATTGGCAGCCATCACCATTTCCCATGGCAACAAATTCCATAGTCTAACTGTACGCTGTGTAAAGAAGTACTTCCATGTATCTGTCCTAAACCTCCCATCAATCAGCTTCATGGTATACTGGCCTTGAATGTTATGGGAGAGAAAAATGGCTCCCTCTGCACGTTCTCCACACCATGCATTATTTTAAGCATAGCTATCATGTCTCCCATTACTTGCCTTTTTTCTGAGCTGAACAGTCCCAGTTGTTGTAACCACCTGTTTCAGCTCCCTGATCATTTTTGTTGCCCTTCTCTGTACTTTATCCAAGTCAGTAGTCACTGGTGTGGATGGAACACAGTGGATGTTCACACAAAAAATACAGAACATGCCCTAAAAGTGTGGACAGTTAACTGCAATTCCACTTCCTACTGCAGAAGAACAATGACTTATTAAAGAGCCATGTGCCTTGAAATGCCACAGATTTCTTTGACCAGGAATACCATGTTTTCCTGTCTAAAACTTCCCTTTCAGGTAACGCTTTGGAAAGCACAGCTCTATATTAATCAGAATACTTGAATACCTTCACCATGCCCTAAAAACTATGGGCAGAAATTGAAAACCTCCAAACTTTTCACTAATTTTTTTTTCATTGATAACTACCAGCATAGCACGTTTCTCTTCATCCCCTCTTCTTTCCTTCTTTTCATTTTTCTTTCTGAAGATATCTTGCAACTGCAAAAAAGTCATTTGTATCATCTATAGTTTTTTTCTGTGTATTACATTGTTTATGGACAAAGACCACAGTATACAACAAATAGACACCATCTAACAAACTTGTAAGAAATGAAGTTTAGTTACAACCTCCAAATAACTTTTGTTGGATTGTACCCTTAATTTTACCACTTTAAACACAACGGAGTTTATACATGTTTTCCACCTAAACTCTAGGTGAAAGCAAGTACATTGTTATAATATATGAAAAAAAGTTTCTTCCTCTAGGAAAGGCAGCTGTTTCTTCCTCTAAGAAGCCTCCCTCCCTCACACTCACCACAGAAACCAAACTGTAAAGACTGGACAATTCCACAATGGTTGTAGTCAGCTGTGTAAACCTGCAGGGAATTAGATTAACTTGATCAATTTCTTCCAACATAACTTGACTGATGTACATCAGATCTCCAATAGCAGAGATATCTGAATGTACCACAGCCTTGATGAATGATAGTCTTGTTCACCCAGTAAATCCATTTCACGTTAGATTTCTATGAACAGATTTCAAGCTGCATAGCCACTTCAAACAGTCAAGAAAAAAAAACACCCCAAAACATAATGCAGTAGTCCTCCTGGAGATGAACTCTTCAGAATGGAGGATGAATCTCATGTTTGTTCTACTCATTAAAAAATTACACATGTAGAAAGAAATTATTATGGGGAGAAGGATTCAAGCCTAGACTTGTCCTAACACATTAGCTTGCCAAGTGCAGGGAATTCTTGATATGGAAGTCTTCAAACATGCAAGCCCCACACCAAACCTGTACTCTAAAGTAGCAGGGTCCCAAAAGACTGTATATATTCTTTCTGAAGGTTTGAAATTGCTCACATTTGAGTAAGATAAAAAAGCAAGGGAATGGTAAGAAGAATCAAGGAATAGTAAGAAGAGGTTTGGTAACTGAAAAAGCAAAAAAGATCTTTAAAAACCCCCTTTCCATGCTTTGATTTCCCTTACACCAGATACGGGAAGGGAAGATCTTGTTGCACTCATCAATAAAGCTCATTTGATCTTCTGGAAATGAACCTTTTGTGTAGAAGTAGTGCTACAGGATACCAAAGAGTAGGGCAGTGAACATGAACTAATCTGAGAGCACTTTTCATAGGAACATTGTTTGAAACAAAATAATGGGATCGACTGTTGAAAGCTGAAAGAACAAAACAACATCTCTGTATCAAGGGAACAAAATCCTTCTGTTCTCTGACCTCAAACCTATGACATAAGCAAATAGGGTTTTTAAAAATAAGTCTATAAAGTATTTGATGACTTAATTTGGATAATTTTGATGTCCTGTGTACAGGAAAAACTGGGTGTTATAAGCTCTTGTCACATTTCACATTCTTGGTGCAAGAAGACCTAATAAGAATCAACAAAAAGGGCAGTACCATTGACTATACTGGTTATTTACATTAGGTCTCTCTTTGAATCCGTTAGCCTTTCAATATTCTTTAAAAATTACAATCCAAATTAAGACTGCAGATCTGGACATGCTTAAAGTACTGTTTTTCTTTAAAATGGAGTTTGACCATTCATATTAGAAACGTTTTTATAACTGGCAGGAGACAGGGTTCTTCTAGATGGAGGGGTCCTAAAGCTGCCAATGTGAAGGCTCTGTGCAACTATTCTGATGTTTTTCAGTAGGGAAAAATGAAAGAAGTGGTGGGAAAACACAAGAAGATGAGAAATGGAAGACAATGCCATCTGGATGTCATCCATAAAATCTCATGAATGAGGCAGGGCAATGGCCCAATAAAAACATCATCTGGAAGCAACTATACTTTTGTGGTTCTTGGACTAGAAGACTGGGCACCACTCACATGACTTACTTTCTTAAAAGACCAGCTACTCTGTCTTTGCTCCTTAATAGTTTGTGTGTGTGCGGAAAGAAAAAACATGGGGAAAGTGGTGGAAAAATATAGGGGGGTTATAAGATGAAAACCACATCTGGATTCTGCATAAAATTCTATGAATGATGCATGGCAGGTTTATGATAAAAAGCCTTGTGTGGAAGCATTAAGTGACACAGAAGCTAAAATTGGTATTTCATTTGAGGTCATTATCATATATCTACTGAGGAATGTAATCATATGAAGCAACAGTATAACCTTATTTCTCCATTACTGATTTTCAGATAGCCACACAGGTGGCCCAGTGGTCAATAAAGAACTCCTGCTTCATGCCATCAGACAATGAGATGGCAGTACAATTGGCTGAAGCCTCTAAGCTGCAGCCATGTCATTATGAGGCTTATTCTAGTTTTCCAGTGAGCCATGGGAACAATCCTTCATCCCCATTTCTCCCTTAGGTGCATTTTCCCCCACTTACTTTCTCATCTCTCTCTGTCTCTGCATTTCACCATTTCCCTGATGCATGTATTGCTTGCTTTACCTCTAGGACCACAAGAGGGAAAATGCATGTGGTTGCTAGGTAACCAGTTCTATGGTTCCTTATTTTCCCCCTTGCACAGAATGGAGCCATTGTAGCTAGGGTATCCTGCTAGAAAAGAACACAATTGTGCATGGGATGCAGTGGCCTGTAAAGACAGTCTAGGTGGGATTTTATCAAATCAGAATTTCATAACATTTTCTTAAACAGTTCTTCAGCAAGGTAAAAAGTGTAATTACACACTGAAGAGAAACTAGGACAAGGACAATATATAATGTACCTACCACCAAGAATTCTTTTTTGTCTACCATCTCATTCCCATCTGTATCAAACATGTTGAAAGCTATTCTAAAACCTGCATGTGGCTCTGCCAAGGAATAAAAAGAAAAAAGTAAAGATACATAGCAAAGAAAGGCAAATATAATCTTAAATGTTACAACACCAAGGATCAAATTGGACATGTGGTGGCAGTTCTGTGTGTTTAAACATGGCACACTACCCAACTCACAAAGTGTGTAGTGACAGGACTATTTTTTTATTTATTCTTTAGCAGCAAGCAGAGTACAGACATTTCCTGTATATCTCCGTTTCTAACTAATTTTGCCCTCCACAAACCTTAGATACCATCTGTGACCTCAGCTGGGTGAAAAGCACTTGTGGTGAAAAGCTGCAGTGAGGGCTCATTTCATCTCACTTATGTATCCCTTCTGCTGTTACAATCAGTCTGTCAATGTAGACTCATGGCCTCATGACTGCAACCGTGTTTCAACATACAGAACTCCTGCCAACGTATCTAATTTGATCCTGACTGGCATAGCACATTATAGAGGGCCAGCTCTAAGCAGCAGGGCAATAGGACTCCAAAATCAATCTTTCGTTATTTTGAATTAGGACCTAGATTCCCCACATCTAAAGTCAACAATAATCACTCTCCTCATCAGTCCCTGAAACACTGTTCTTTACAGGTTGGGGACAGAAAAGGTGAGATTTTTGAGTCTCCAGAGTGAATTCTTAGGAACATCTGTGATAACAGGTAGTTTCAAGAAGCAGCCCCACAATGACTCTGCAATTGGACAGAAAAAGGAGTATAACAGGTTACAACTTTTATTGATATTCATGGGTACACTGTAATTCATCCGTAATTCACCAAATGAGGCGAAGGGAGAGGGTAGAAAGTCTTCTCTCTCACACCCTGTATTTGTCCAAGAACTGACCTGGCTGTCCTTGCTGCTTTTGTCACTCAGGTAGCCTGAGTTTCCTACCTATGGTGAAGCCATACAGCTGGCATAAGAATCTTAAGTCTCATCTCATCTCATCTAGTCTCAGTAGTCCCCTAAAATGTACTGGCTGGCTCCTGCTCTGCCACCAGAGGTACCTCTCCAGCTCTAGGAAGAGACTGTGCCATGTATTCCCTTCCAGAAAATGACTGATGCCTGCCTTAATGAACATGGACATATACAAATATATGTTTTTTTAAAAAAACTTTGAGTACTTACTTGTTAAGATACATAATAGGAACAGATACTCTGTGTATGAAATCACACCTGAAAAAAGCAAGTAATCAAATCAGCAATCTGTTCTCCAGTCAAATATTAATAAGAAGTGATATAGCAATTACTGTATTAATTACATTCCTTCCATCTTTACTGCAGCATTTCCCAGCTGCCCCAACCCCGATAGATATTTTATTAAATAGAAATAGTTTTGGCATGATTCTTCCCTTCTTCCTCAATGCATTTTCACACTGTCTATCTGTTTCCAAAAGTAATCTGGGAAATGGACTCATTGTTTGTCAATAAAGTGAGCAATGATATACCTGTTTCTAGGGAAATGGAGACAGCAGAGCTCACAGGCTAGAAGATTAAGTCAGGGGACAATGGTGCTTCCACACCACAGTGAATTGTGGGAAGTTTATAACAAACTGCTGATTCTCTCTGTGGTTTCAGAAAACTAATCCTAGGACACATGGACTCTGGAACTGGGTCGAGAAGACATAAAAGACCCAGAACAGTAAGATTTCACCATGGTTTCTCATGTCATGTGGACTTGCCCTATGTTAGAAAACTACCTGCCTTTGCTTTCCCTATACAATAACCGCCACAAATATGAGGAAATTTAAATCTTGTTTTCCCACTCAAGATGTTCCAATTTCAGGATTTTAATTCTTCATTCAATATCTTCATGTAACCAAGTTAATTTTTTCCTCATATTGTGGAAAGAAATTCTGGGTGATCAGTCTCAGTTGAACTCAGTTATTTCATTTCTCAGTGAGAAACTATGGAAGGGCTGCAACACAGAAAGCCCAGCATTAAAATCTGTGTACAATTTATAGCTGAAACAGCTGAAGTTTAGATAAAAGTTCTTGTAGTGACACTATATTCTGCACAAAAGACTGAGCAATTAAACCTTTAAGATAAATGATATAGTTGGTTTTCCAAAATCATTGTTAGCTCATAGTAAGTGTATCAGTTGGGTTTCTTTTAGCTTATGAGAGTCAGAATACATGTCCCATCATATTTCTAAGCTTTAACAGTGCATATGTTAAAAAGTATTAAAAATATGCACAACAGCTTTTGGTTTTAATGCTAAATGTCTTCAAAGCTCAGAGGAGCTTTGTAGCATAATTTCCCAGAACTAAGTGTGATTAAGAGATTTGGAGCAACCCACAGGTTTGTGGGCTCATCTCCTGAATGTGTTTTCCTATAGATAATTTTGGTGCAGAATTATGTGAACAGTGATGTTAATGTCCTTGTAGCTTGAACCAGAAGTTTATAACTATGTCTGCAAACTGGTTTTAAACTAACTCTGGTTAGTTTTAGCAGTCAGTACAGACATAGCACCACACCACTGTTAACACCTAGAAATGAAATAAGAAGAGATTCACATACAATATGGCAAGACAAGGGGTAAGGAACCTGTAATACACTTCCAATATTATAGCCATAGTTATATGATTGGGAATACAGCAGGATCCCATATCCATGAGGACAGGTTCCAAGCCCCACAGTAGATGCCTGAAATTGTGGATAATAGCAAACACTATATACTGTACATATACATTTCTTTTTCACAATTGCACAGATAGATTTGTTCTTACCATGCATCCTAGCAACCTCAGCATAGTTTTTTTCTTTTCCTATTAAATTGAGATATTTCACTTAAAGGAAACAGTTTATGACTTCTCTTTCAGACCAAGGTCAACCATGGTTAAGTGAAAATGTAGTAACTGTACAAGTGGATGCAGAGCTCCTGCTGTATTACATCTCAACTAGCCCCAAAACAGACTAGAAAGAAGCAAATACTTGTGTATGAAATATATGATTTCAGTCATTGCTTCAAATTTGTAGGCAATCCAACATGAAAGGCCTGTTTGTGGGCTTTTGCGAGGGAAAAAAAGGATAAGAATATATAACATAGATACACTATGTACTGAGTTCTCCCAATAACTGAAAATTTAACAAATAAAGTTAATCTGCTTGAAAGGAAATGATATTTTAATTTGATAAACTGATATACATAACTGTAGAGGTGCTTCTTAGAATTAAGATCATCATGCAAGCTATCAAATCCCATTACTGTCTCATACCACATGTGTATGACAGCTTTACCCAATATTGGTAAAACACTTTGCTCCTACCAGAAAGAAGAAACTCAAGGTACAGGTTACAAAGGCAGGAGTGATATTGGGTTGATCTCCTTCTGCAGTGATGGTTGTTGGAGACATATGGAAGGTCAGTATTGTACTTGCTCCTTTTCAAATTTGTGTAGATTCTGTTCTTCAAGATTGATCAGAACAAGGATCCCTGATTATATCAAGCCCTAACTAAAAGGTACTCAGGGATTTTTAAATTGTAGAGATGTTATCACTCTCTCTGCTGTAGGTAATTCTCAGTGATAAAGAGTGTAAATAAGCGCTTAAATTGGTTACTTTAATTTTACTCTAAATTAGTAAATCAGTCATGCTCATGATCAAATCACAAAGACAGTGAAGGAAACTTGTCTGTCCCCTACTAAAAATGCTTTGAGAAGAAAACTAGATATCCATATAGTTCAGTTAAAGTAATTTATTTATTTATAACTTTTACACCCCACCCTTCACAATGTCTCCAGGCAGAAATAGCAATACTAGTCCAGAATAAAAAGAATTTATAGTGAAGACTTTCTATGAAGCAAGTATTCCTCAGTACCTTTCTCCTGCAGATTCCGAAATAATTTTGATGACCCTTTCCAAACTGGTGGTGTTTCTAGTAGTATCTGATTCAATTCCTGAAAATCAGTAAATTGAAAATAAAAGGAATACACTGATTATTTAAAACAGACTTGGTAAGGATGCAATCCTATACCCTCTTGACTGGAAGGAAGTCCCATTGACTTATGGCCAATTTGAGAAGTACAGCATTTCACTGCAAGGTATACTAGGGTTTTTATGACAGGAACCAGATTAAGTCCCACAGTACTAGAAGGTTGGTTGCAACAATCTGCAAATGATGTAATCAAATGATGCAATCTGCTGCATCTACAACTGGAGTACAGTAGTTGCCTGAAATTCATAGTGGTTGTGTTCCTAGAGCACCCGCGAATTGTGAAAAACTGCTAATTTTGAATGTGGTAAAAAATGCCTATTTTTATAGCTTAAACCCTAAATATGTTGCTGCCTCATTCTTCTTTATGTAATGTACAGTGCTTTCACTGATGCCATAATGGTGCGCTACTGTAGCATAACCTTTTAGTTCCCGGAGCAAATCCAGTACTTCAACTTGCTCCTGGAGTATTTTAAACTTCTTCTGGTGTTTAGGTTCATTGCCAGAAGCCTTAGAAGGTGCAGGGCATTTGGGCAGCATCTTAGGGCTTCAAGAAGAACAAAACGGAGAGCACTCAGCGAACACCGGAGATGCGTCACAGGGCAGCAGCCAATCAGTGGTTTCCGCGAAATTGTGGGGGTTTCTGTGAACAATATTAGTTCACTTCCAAGGAAAATTCTGTGAAAGACTGACTGAGACTTCACGGGGGTATACTGTACTGTGTCCAATTCTGGGCTCCACATTATGAGAGAGACACAGCTAGGTGAGAATCTGTTCAGTGCAGGGTCACACGGATGAAAGCCAGATTTTTTTTTTTTTTTGGGAGGGGGTGCCATATGAGATGAGATTGAGGGAGCTGGGTCTTTTCAGCATGGAAAGTTTTCTCAGTCTCTGCTCATAGGGCTGTGTTTCCAAACCCTGGATCATTTTTGTTGCCTTCTCCTGGACCCTAATTTTCCTGCATCTTCCTTAGATCTTGGTGCCCAAGAACTGGACACAGTATTCCAGATGAGGTCTGACTAGTGGGGAACATAGGGAAATTACTACTTCTTGTGATTCAGAAGTAATACTTCTGTTACTGTATTACAAAATAGCATTTGCCCTTTTTGCAGCTACACCACATTGTTGGGACATATTCAGTCTGTTGTCCACAATTACTCTCAGGTCTTTTCTTTTTCATTTCTGTTTAGCCATGTATTCCCCATCTTGTATCAATGAATTTGGTTTCTTTTTCCTAGGTGGAGGACTTGGCACTTGTCCCTAATTGAATCTCATTCTGTTGCTTTCAGCTTTCAAGTTTATCAAGATTGCCCTGGATCTTCATTCTATCTTCTAGGATATTTGCTATTCCACCCAGGGGAAAATTTGATTATTGTTCCTTATACTTCCTCATCTAAATTATTAATAATGATGTTGAAGAGCACCTGCCCCAGGACTGAATGGGCTTCCACAGGAGGTGGTGGGAGCCCCATCAGTGAGGGTGTTCAGGGAAAAGTTGGACAAGCACATGCTGTGTATTACATGGGCAGAGACAGCTGGAGCTAAGGGTCAAATCAGATGGCCCAGGAGACCCCTTCTGACTTGATATGTTTTTATGTTTCCAATTCATCACATATAATAAAATATAAGAGATGTGTCCTCACTCATTCATAGTAGGTCAATATGAATGGGGCAGGGCAGTATTAATATCTCCATTGAACTGAACTGAGATTGTGTGAGGTTCACATTGACTTATTTTATATATAGATAAGCTGTGATTTGAACTAACTTCTAATTTATAAGCCATGGCTCTTAACCACCACAATCTACCTGGTATGAAATATCCTAACACTGATCATTTTTTAAAAAATCATACATATATTATATAAAGAATTCATATAAGAGAAGCATTTGAGAAACACTTATCAATTATACACAGAATTCAAATAAGAGACAGCCTTTGAGAAACACTTTAAAAAGCCAAAAATATGTGATACTCTTAAGATGCGATCCTGTGCAACTTTAGACAGAAAAAAATTCTGCAGCATCCAGAATGCTCCTTCTAGCTATATAGCTAGGTTTTCTTAAAAATCTAAACTTGCATAGAACTGCAACCATAAAATATAAAGGATATGCAACTGCGGAGTCTACAAATCCTATAACATTGAGACAAGTTCTAATTCTTTGCTGCATTGAAGGAAACTGAACCTCACCTGTTTTGAAAGGCATTTCCATTGTTTTGCCCCTAAAACAAACACAAAAAATAATTATTTAAACAAATATATAATTGCATGCACCAATAGAATAAATCAATATCTACATGATCCTATCAATTCAATACAACTAGGGTTAATAAGATGTTTTTAATAACACAATTTAGATGTTGAATATTCCTTATGTGGATCGTATTGACATATGGTGGGAATGTTAGGTAACTTCTTATTGGCCATGCGCTATAACTTATATCGGACACAGAAGGGTTTACACCCAGTGTTGATCTTATTTATTAGAAAACATTTCAAATGGTTGTCCAAACAGTAAAAATGAACAAATGTTTGTAAAGATGCTCTATGCCCAGCATTAGAAAAACCTGTAATCACTAAAACACAGTGTTACATTAAAAAGGAGTGGTTGTTGAAATTTACTGAACTAGCCAAGGTGGACAAGTTAACTGACATAATACATAGAAAGAATGGTACTCAGTTAAATGAATTGCTGAATGTTTACATGTTTTAGAGAATACTGGACTATATAATGGGGACATATAAAGCATTACAGAAATTTATTTCTATAATGTAAATCAATCTCCTTTTCTCTTTTATACTTTCTTTCCTAAGATATATAAATCAGCTTGCTAATCTGGATATATTAACAAACCTAGGCTTTAATCCCATGCTCAGTGGAATTTATTTCCCAGCAAATGTGCCGAAGGTAGGGGACCAAATGACATTTAATAAAACTAACAATCAGATTCTAAATGCACATATGGCATTTAGGCTAAGCAGCAGGCTAATTGGCACAAAATTTTATCCAAGGAGAGGGACAAAAAAGGGGCAATGATAAAAGTGACATTTGAACAGTTCTTCTGAGGGCTCAGATTATGTGAAGGAATTTGAGCCTTTCTGTAAACTGAATGAGACCTTTAGCCTATCAGGTGTGGATAGAGATATTTTTAGCAGTCGATGCCACTATTTGTACTGCATTGAGGTAATTCTCAGGAAAAGGCTGAAGACCAACTGAGAAACATTTGGTTCCCTGTATGTAGTAGTGACCTGAAACCTACGGTCACAGTTGGCTGTAAACAATGCTATGGCCTCAGACCAAAAACTGGAATGTCCAGCACCATTGTTTTCTCTGTGGAAATGGGACTGTTGAAATGATCTCTCACAGACATTTTTTCACCACATATTCACTGGATGCCTTATTTGGATTATTTATTTAAAACATTTATATGCTGTCCTTTATGACAACGTCTCAGTTATGTCTTAGTTCTGATTGCTGGGCTGGCTGTGTAGACTCAATGGTGTGAGTACATGTTGATATATATATATCAATATTACCTACAATAACAGAGAAACAACTTCTTTAGCTTATGCTACATTAGTTAGAATTAACATAACTTTATAGGATTATTCTAAACTGAGTGAAATATATATTTAATTGTTCAAAATGTATAAAGAATACACAAAGCACTTCAGTCTCAGCATTTTTAATCACTAATGGCTCCAACAGGAGATTTTCTCCCAGTGCAAATTTTGGCTTCAGAGGAGGCATTTTCCTCAGACCCAAGCAAGACCTACATTCATCCTCCACATCTATCTCCTGTGATAGCCTTATCCTCCATGAAATTGTTGCATTTGATTCATCAAGGATACAGTGAGGAAAGATGCCTCTTCAATTACTTACCCAGGCACTAAAAATCTTCCATAGAAATCTTTCTTTTGGTTCTCAGGTCCTCAGAGATGAGGTAGCCTGTTACATGAGATTGGGCCTTCTCAGCTGTTGGCATCCCAATTTGGAATACTCTCCAAAGAAGGCCTGCCTGACACCAAGTCTGTCTTTTTAGTCTCACATGAACAACTTTTTAATTTGCCTGGTCATTTTATATCTTACTGTTTCAGTCTGATACCTTAGCCCAACCTGATATTAACCTATTATTCTTGGTTGTTTTATTTTTGTTATGTTTTGATTTTGTTTTATTGTATTTTTATTCATTTTTACCACTCTGAGAACCTTTAGACTGAACTCCATCACAGAAGCAGATGCATGAATAAACTTGTGGAAAAGATGCATTTTCCATTTTTTCCAGAATCCTAATAAAGAGAAAGATTTCCAAACCACCTCAGGCAGGGATGTCCAAACTTCCAGAGTTTAGGAATATCAAAGTACAAAGGCCTGACTTCTGAGTGCTACTGTCCTTTGCTTTCACTCTGACAGAATAGCAAGCTGTCCCAAATTAATTGGTGCAAGGAAAGGAAGTCTTTTCAAATACTTAAAACCAGCACATTGAACTTAATACAAAAACAGATTGCTTAGAGTTTAGTTTTCTATATAGAAAATGTATTGAACTACTTCTGTTTAAAGGGCTGATTTCTGAAAAATCCATATTCTGCACATATACATGGTGCTACCTTTTTATTCTTCTTTCTAAAACGATATTTTCCACAATTCTTAGCATACCACAGACTGGTTTGGGAATGCTGGGAATTGTTGGACTTTTTTCTGTTTAAACATGCTTAATCCTGTAATCCCCATTCCCAGTTATAACCAAGCTAGATATGCATAATTACAATAGACTTCATGCATCCTTCCCTATCTTTATTTCTCCCTCTTCTCTTTCAGTTGACTCCAAGCTTGTCTGGGGCATGGATCTGTCTATTTTTTCATAGACAACATCTGCCATATAGCAATTTAAGTTTTTAACACTTTTTGTGCCTTATAGAAATCATGAGACCAGTAATATTTCCATTTTTCTCCCTTGATATGCCAAAGCTCATTGAGTTCACATTTGAGAATACTAATACAGAAGTGAAAACAATAATTTGTAAACTTTAATTGTAACTGTCACATTGTGGAGGTAAAGCCATACTTACGTCTTGGTTCATCATTTGTAACAGATTGAATGAAATCATATGGTGTCATAAATAGCTGCCCTTCAAATTCTAAACTGGCAAACATACGAAACCGCTGCTCCCGGGAAGTTGCATACAGATCCAAATCTTCATAACCTGGTCTGCTTTCTGTGAACTTTTTAAAAGACAAAAGAAGCCATGAGTGTATTAGTTCTTTCAATTATTGTGATTCTTTTAGCTCTGCCTCACAATCTCTGTCTGTCTCACATTCTAACTGGCTCACCTTCTCTTCACCTCCAGTCCCGCAAACATTCTTCCTTGATCACACAATTATTATTATTTTTCCTCCCTCTCGTATGCTAACCTAATTCAGCTGTATGACAACATGGTAGTCAACTGTGTATATTCTATTTCACTATAAAAACAGCTGCTATTACACAGGGAATTTTAATTATTATGAACTATCATTATACATATATATAGTCTGGTTACACTTGAAGGGACAGTCAATCAGTCAGGAAACCTGCTGACAAGTGTGCTGTCTGGATGCCACAAAATGACTTAAACAGAACTAATTTCTGTTTTTCCTATAAAGCAGCTCGTAAAATACTGCAGAGAAAGAACTTGCCTCCCACCCTGTATCAGATTTAAGGCTGCTGCAAATGTGTGTTGCTCTGGCAAAAGTGTGCCCATGTCATGCAGATTCAAACATTTTTGTGAAACATAATGGAAATCACACCTGATAGACCATGCAATGAGATCCAGGAAAGGACAAAAGCAGTGGTGAGGTAATGGGTAAGAGTCAATAAGGGTCCAGTTTCTATTCTTACTTTTAGAGATTATCTGATCCAAATCTCTTAGTAATTAGCGGCAAACCTCAAAAAAAAAAAAACTTTCATGAAAGCATATCCCTATCAAAAGATGTTAAGACTTGTGTTTACTAATCTTTTTGGCAATCTTACAGTGATGCTGTATCATGTTATAGCTCAGCACCTTTACAAAGCTGGACAGAATCATTTCTCTCAAGAAAACTGTCACAAACCTCTAAGTAAAGCCACTATCTCACTGTTTGGAAGAAATTTTAGTTTAGTGTTTGGATCTAGACTATTCCCCAAATCACCAATTTTCTCTCTCTCTGGACTGGGTTCACATGACACAACAACCCATTATGGGCTGCTACTGGGCTTCTTGAAAAGTACGGGCAAAAAACTTGCTGTTCTTGCCATGCTTGCCCAGACATCCATGAGTGCCAGCCCACATGCAAATGCCCAAATGCCACTTGGGGGCAAGATGGCATTGGCTAACTGCCTTCACCACCAGCATCATAAGCTCTTTTCAGATTGCTGCAGCTATTTTGCACTTTATATTTTCCCAACCAAGAAACTGTGAAAGCTGGCTTGAAAGCTTTGCAACCTGCTTTTGCAATCATCATTTTGGCACTCACTGACAGCTCTGCCCAAGAACCTCAGTGGCACCTTGGAGAGAATGTCAGGAATTTGAAAGCTCAACTGTGGCAATGTCCTAAGAGGTATCTGCTGCTCAAGTGTACCAGGTACCAATCCTGAATACTATCCCAAAAAGACTCCAAATGGGGTCTTTTTGGTTTCTTCTGACAGATATCAAAATGCAAGATGCTAAGGCAAAGCAAAGGAATGAGCAATCTCTGCTTGTGAAAAAAGGATGGTGTGATTCATACCCCATTTTGCAGCAAGGTCTTAATCTTTCTTTCTCATATCCTGACAATCTTCAGAGTGAAGTATATTTTGCAAGTTTCCCCAATACTTCCAAGTGTTCGGGAAAGTGCAAAAGTGTACTTTGCCTTTTGACAGTTTTCAAGGGCAGGAGAATATTTTGAGCCACTTTAGGAAAACCTCAACAGTTGTTACTTGCTGCACCTTGGCTGCCCTTGCTTTTCACATAGTATAGCAATTAACCATGGTTAAAGCAACCAGTAAAGCTTGAGTGTTATCAAGGTAGCTTTTTTGGAAAAACGAAACAAAAACAAAAATAAGCCACCATGGGTGAAACAGGCATCAGATGACATGACTAACTCTGGCTACTTACTCAAAACAGGTTATCCATGTTGTGCGAATGAACTCAGTGAATAAAAAGTACAGAGACCTTTTTAAATGCAGGTGTACATTAAACCATTTCAGAAAGTATTGCCCAATGTATTCAACATTATTATGACAGAAAAAAGTTAATTTTGACAACAAATTATGTATCTTTTCCCAGAACAAATGCAATTCTTCTGTGGAATAGTTACACTTGTTTGCAAGCTTAAGTAACTCCTACTTCTATGTAATTTATTCCCAGTAAGTTTGTATAATATTGCTGCTCAAGGAATACAGATCGTTTTAGTATGCAAATAAACTAACCTCAACAATCTTATTGTCAACTAACTTACTTGACCAACTCTATAACTTCTAACTCTGATATATTAGAATTAGAACAAATAACTTAAATATCAAATTAACTTAAATAACTTGCAGGACAAGTTAGGACAATTAATTTAAATATCAATATGATAAGCAGCTCTTTAACAGAATTCAAATGAGAAAGGCTTTTATACTTGACATTTTGTTTGTTCACAAAATAAAACAAAATCAACAAAATTATTCAAATGAACCTTTTCATATTATGCTTTGAATTTTGAGTAATCCTTGCCCTAGAAGGAGCAGTCTTTACCATGTTAGCAGATAGTTTATACTAGTGTACAGTCATGATAGTGTAGTCATAGTCCTATGCACACCCAGCGGAAAAGTTGTGCAGATAACAATAGCATACCATCACAGTTGTAGCCATTCCCCCAGCTACTCCTCCAGTGCCATACCATTCATGGAGCAGTATGAGGTCAGCATCACTTGCTCCTGCATCATTCAGGCATTAAAGAAACCAATGCTATGGAGTGATGGGAATCTTTCTGCCAGGGAAGAACTATAGTAAGCAATAATGAGATCTGCAACTACACTGTCAGAGGAGCATCTGCTGATACCTTACTGAAGAGAGCACCAGATTGGGACACAGTAACAGGTTTAACTCCCACCAGGAGAAGGGTAGAATTAAAGCCAAGCTCACCTTTTGCATGCCTTACCAGCAACAGCCATATCAGATGCAAAAGAAATGGAGCAGGAAGAAGTAGAACGCATAGATTACATTTTGCACAGGTGTGCTTGCCTCAGCAACAGAAGAGGGATGGACACTGCACTGGGCATGTCACCCTTCAGCTGCTGGCCCACAGACTTAGCCATATATGCCAGGATCAAGAAGGTGCCATAAGAGCCTTAGCTTATTTACACATGGTGCCAGGTTCAAACTCTAGGTGTTGACTTCCAATAGACAAAGTTGGAAGTCAACTTTGAGCAACTCTGAGTATGAGCATACTGGGGGGACATTGCATTGCCCTATTGCCTGGTTCTCACATAGTGTCTTTTATACTATGTGGATCCTGCCTCATTTCTATTAATCACTACACTATTAATTTCTATTAATTGCCTTCCACCATGTTCCTTTGGTTGATTGCTCGGGCCTGCTAGTTATAATCCTAAAATACTTTGTTGTCCATATTATCCTTGTACCCCATGGTGACTGACTCTATGGTTCATTACGTCAGCAGTAACTAGGAAGCTCATGAGATTTAACTCTACATTGGAGCCCAGGTGACTGGTAGCAGGAAAGCCCACAAGCCTTCTCATACTCAATCCCCTCAGTCTGTGGCTGGATGTAAAACCTCGGACAGAGAGGTGGAGGAGGATTTCTCTCTGTTAATCCTGTTAATGAAGAAACAGCAGGTATAACAAAGTAAACACTTTTACTGAACTGCATTTAGGTTGGATGCATACTGGAAGCAGGATAGAAAAAGTGGTTTGTCATTCTTCTTGTTGTAGCAAGGTTTCTCTGCCTTTGAAAGTTGCATGACAGCAAAATTACAGGCTCATTGAGCAACATTGTACTATGGCTTCACCTGTTACATCAGTGCATCAATCAGTATGCAAAGTACAGCAGCCAGAACAAGAGGAACAACTGGAATCACCCTGGTCATAGCTAGTATGGCAGTAGGCTTCACTTGTTGTCTGAACCAAAGTGGAAGTGGGGAAAATTTCTTGCTTTGGTATGTGATCAAAGGGCTACCTGTAAAGAGCACAGACAATCATGAATAGCAGTCTGCACCTGTAGCACATAGTCTCTGGATTCAGAAGCGCAATAAGTGTTAGTGCAGGAAAAAAGAATGTTGTCGTCTGGTCGCTTTTCCAATTTGCCTTCTTTCTGCCTGCCTCTTCCTTTTGAGAAAAGAGACTGTAGTGACTGAAACAATACTTATCCCTCCCGCAAGGAGTTGTACTGGAACCCTGTATACAGTAGCTAGTTTGCTGTACCATGTAATCCTGCAAAACAAAAGGCCGCACGTTTGGCTAGCACCACCTTTCCCATTCTGTAGGAAACTATATTGGATGACATAGAAGAAATGGTCTAGATTTTTAAAAGACTGGATAGACCTATCTCATAAACCATGCCGTAGTTTCTACATGTTTTATGGATGCATGTGCCATGAGTCATAACATATGTGCTGCAGCAGATATCCATTTTAGAAAATGGTGTTCACAAACACATGCAAACCATAGGGTCTGTCCATTTGCACTGTATTCCAATGTCTTGCAAGGATACAGTGGTTGGAGTAAGATATACACTGCAATCATGTGAGGTATTCTCCTCACCCCCTTTGCTCACTTGTTTGTGGAACATTAGTCCCACATTCTCAGCTGGAGAAATATAGCAGAATCTCCACTTAGATATCTGAAGTCTTTGAGGTGTAGTTGAAAGGCAGGGGGTAGGGAAACTTGTGCCCTCCAGATGTTTTGGACTATAATTCCCAATATAACTGACCACTGACAACGGTGTGTGGAGCTTATGAATGCTGCAGTCAAAAATATCTGCAGGCAGAAAATTACCTGTCCCTATTATAAAGTTTATGATAACAACTTATTCTTCCTTTACTTATTTTGATCCGGCCTGTGCAAAGGGCTTCCTATTTGTGCCAAATTCCTTTTTGCCACCACCTTTGCCATTACTTTGAGTACACCAGATCACCCTGGTATACTAAAAGTGTGCCCAAGAAGAGGACAGAGAGATATAGCAGCTTATCATCAGAAGTGCAGGCTCTTTGTTAGGAATTGT